CTTCGCGTACAGGCATAATGATCTGTGTGATATGACGACTCCCTTTGGCTGACCCGTGCTTCCGCTTGTGAAAACTATACACGCAGGGTCGTAGGGTTGTATTGTGTCTGGATAGCTATGGGTTTTCGGTAGACTGAGGCTTGCTGGGATGCTGGTGCATTCTAGTACACACTTCCCCTCCGCGGGAGATTCGAAGGGCTCTAAGGTTGCATTGACGATTACAGTGCTGTCAACTGTATTGCAGACATTGGTTACCATTTCTGGGGACCATGTTGCTCTATCTATTGGCACCCAGCAACCCCCTGACTTGAGGATAGCGAGGATGGCGATGATGTTGAACGTTCCATGTGCTGTGAGCAAGATAACGGGAGACTGATGACCCACGCCCGCACTTCTGAGAGTACTTGCTAACGAATTGGAGGCATCCTCGAGCTCTCGGTACGTTAGGCGGCCTTCACTGTGATCTACAGCGAGGTTATCAGGACAGCGAGCCACAGCCTGAGCAAATAGCTCACACAAATTCAAAGGCAAAGCTTCCATCGTGGCAATGGCAGAAAATAGCGAAGGATGTTCTAGTGAAGAGTCTTAGACGAGCAAAGAAATCGAGGACCATGAAGCTCATGACTACAAGATATCAACTCTTCTCCCTCATGCCATAACAATGTTCACCGTCTGAGTACGTAGCCTAGAGTCGAGGTGGACGCACCATGACTAACGGAAACATGGCCCGTATGCGGTCGAGGAGACGCTCAATGCGTCGGTTACCGAGAAATTTGGCTGTCACTGGCCCTAGCTGCCACCATTTGGTGAGATTTCGGGAATGCCCCAATGGTCACCTGGGAAAACGATTCCTGGTCCTGGATAGGTGTCTGCCGAACTTCTTTCCTTCCAGCAGCTGATTACTCTACGTTTGGTGAATATCATAGTAACTAGCAGCAAGATGTTGACCGAGTTTATAGAACAAGTTCCAGTCGAACGAATGCTGCTCCTTGCAGCAGCTCTGCTGATCGTCCTATGCGCTGTCTCCAGCAGGCTAGCCTTGACAGTGAGAAGTGCAGCTTAGAGCGTTATCTGATATCTCAAGGCTGATAGTAGAGCAGATTACTGGAAAATCACGAGTGAAATCACTGATTAGTAGCAAATCATTGCCAGGGCCCTCATTCCAATTTCCAAATGGTCAAGGAACCGAAAAGTTCTTTGGAGGACGGAACGCTGCACGGAGATGGCGACATCAGTATGGATCCATCTATAGCATTTGGGCAGGTTTGAAGCGCGAAATGTAAGTGTTTGCCTTGATTTGCGAGTATCAGTTACTCAAGCTGGGATAAATGGAGTCTGAAATACTGATCACTGCACAGCGTTCTCTCGACCCCGGAACAGGTGCAAGAGTTCTACAGAGACTCACACCTGCACATCAAAGCGGCGGATAACAATTCTGGTTGGCTCTTTGCCGAGCTTCTCGGATCCTGCGTTGGAGTCGTCAGTCAGAACCGCTGGAAGCGAGTTAGGAGACCATTCGAACACCCGTTCTCTCGACCGTCAGCCCTTACAAGGCCTGGAACATTCATCCATGAAGCCAGAGATTTCTTCAGCGCACTAAACCCGAACAACGAAATACGGACGATCAATACCTCAAATGATTTGAAATACTGTCCTTTTTTCATGGTGGCTAGCATTTTCTTTGGTATTCACACTCAGACACAACGAAACGAGCTTCAACAACTGGGGCCCCCCCGGGAGGAGCTCTTCAGGCGTGCATTCATGGGCAGCATGAATCGTTATGAGATCGCTAAGTATCTTCCGGGATCTGGTTTATCCCTCCTTCGAAAATTCCAAGGCCAATGGGAAACTTTTGTCAAGGCAGCGTATGAACGTGCCATTGACACGGGTGACGGGTCGATTGTGTCGTTGTGGGAGGCGGTCGATCGAGGTGACATGTCCATGCAGGAGGTGAGTTATCTCCAGCCCTGAACATTTTTTCATGCTTAAATGATCTTGTAATAGCTCCTCCAAACGCTCGATGAATCCCTGTTTGCGAATCTTGACGTTACCGCTCATGCTGCCTCTTGGAATGTGATTAGAATCGCTCATCACCGAGACATCCAACGAAAAGTACGAGAAGAGATTCGGCACCACAGAGAATCTGATAAAGCATATGAAGAATACATGTGTCGTGATGACACTCTGATTGCTGCATGCGTCTTAGAAACGTCCCGCCTGCATCCAGTCCTACGTATGAGCCCAATTTCATCTGGCTTCTTGAAACTTATCTTGTTGACTCTTAAGCATAGCGTTTTCAAATCCCGAGGCAGCAGAGGAAGATAAAATAGTTGGCGACTATATGATTCCGCGACGGGTAATTTATCTCTCCTTGCTCAAAAGGATATTCAAACTCGCTAACAGCAACGGTACTCTAGACTGACGTTATTGTCGATACTCATGCTATCAATATAGACAACCCACACTGGAAAGACGCAACGACCTTTGACCCACACAGGCACCTCGGACAGAAGGATTCGGTGAGTTTCCTCGGCACCATCTTCCTCGCTCCATGAACAAAAGCAGAGATTGACGCGCCTGCAGAGCCGAAGGTACAATATGTGGCGCTTTGGGTTTGGTCCCCGGCAGTGTCTTGGGAAGAATGTGGCGGACATTATCCTCCGCATTATTCTCGCCGAGCTCCTGGACAATTACAAAATTGAGCTTATGGAAGCTGAAGAAGTAGCCGATGTCAAACTGCAGCCAGATAGTTGGATCGGCTTGCCAGATGGTATCGTGAAGATGGTTCCCATGGTTGTTTGATCTAGCTGTTGAAAATAAATTTCTGTTGCTTAAAAAAGAAGACCTGAATTATAAGCCGCTGAAGATACATGTGCTGAATACATTTGCGCTATATGACAGCTTGACTCGTTCTTGCCGACTAATAGGTTCTGATGCATGAGCCTAAAAGATGAAGATGGGTTGATTTTCTTTGCACCGAACACTCTAATCTACGAAGTCTTCCTTCGGTAGATTTTCATTAATCAGTCAAAGAATTGTGAAGTGTGCTATGGTTTTAACATTGAACTCTTATAGTAGACCGAGTCTGCGCCAGATATGGCTAACAAAATTTCCCATCGAGCTCTCTACCGACCCAAAATCAAATTTGTCTTCGTAGTCCATCGCAGTCTCAATCAGACGCAGCCCTTGAACGAATTTATCCGTTGAAAGAGCGAAAGTGAGACGAAACCAACCTGCCTGACCTTCACAGTAATCAGAACCGCTACCAACAAAAACACCCTGCTTGGCGCAACGCTGAACGATGGCTTCCTCCTCATCGTCAGTATTGCATGAATTGGAGAGCCGCAGCCAGACATAGACACCTGCGACTGGTTCATAGTATGCGAGGTTATGAAACTCGGCAAATTGAACTGCAAGCCGTGCGGCGCTTTGCATCCGCTGGATGTTAAGCGATACCAATGCCGAGAGCTGTGACGTATCTTGGAGAATCGGTGCCACCATAACTTGCGCCGCAGTGCATAGTTTACCATTATTCAAAATAGCTTGAGACATTCTGAGCTTCTCATTTGCTTGTGTGATAAGGCATCCCTTGTGAGATGATAGTGTTAGCAGAAGATCATGGCCAGGGAGGGAGGGCTGAGCATACAAGCCTTAATCCACTACATCCAAAATCTTTGCTGATGCTATAAACAACATGAACTCTTTCCCCATTGACACCAAGTTCTGTCAAATCTCGGGACAAGACAGACACAAACTTGGCATCTGGCGAAACAAACTTTTCGCTCCCTTCTGCACTGCCCGAGGAGGGTAGTATGATTCGACCAAATGTGGATAGTGCGTATATTTCATCGGACACAAAGTGAATATCCGCTTGCTCGCAGTATTGAAGCAGGGCATCTATAATTTCGACGGAACAGATATGACCCCATGGATTATGAGGGTTGCAGAAAAGCAAGCCGCGAACTTTGTGTGTAGTGTTTTCCGCCGCGGCTCGATATGCCTCGACAATGCTTTGGGCGCAAAGCGACTCGTTATATGATATTGGCACTGAAATCAGCTTAACACCGTTTCTGAGGACCGAAGAGACCTCGAAGCTGCCTGTAAACTCATGCCGCAAACAATTAGTAGCTAAAATTGGAAGCGGTGTGCGGATTTACATACCCCAATACGGAGTTGCCACCAAGAGCCCATCCCCATCGTCGCAGATATCGTTGATCAATGTGTCAATGACGGCACTGCACCCAGCGCTAGTCACAATGTGTTTTGGCTCTACTGGGATTGCTGGCGAGAAGAAGTGATTGAAGAAGCTTGAAGCGGCCGATAGCAGCTCCGGGGTCCCTCCTAGTCCAGGGGCATATGATAAATGATTGCTCTGAAAGTCAACCTGGAAGTTTTTCTTCAGTGAAGAGAGAATCTCGGGTCGGATAAGCCAGTTCTCTGCCGTTGCGAGGTCGATGTTGGATTTACTTTTGGACCCTTGGCGACTCAGTGGTCGTTTGAAACGTTCCAAGAACCATTCGTTACTCTCCCGAGCACCACGTGAGAGCATTTTGGAGACAAATCAGGGATTAAAATACCTTAAAACTGTAATTGTGTACTTGATCGAGCCTGGTCAATTGCAGAAACATCAAGATAGCGGCTAACCTCGAGGTGAGCCGTGGGGAACTATGAGGGCATACCCTTCCCATCGATGGATCCTCGGTTCAATTTGTTCGGGGACTTCACGTAGATCACGCTTGGTTACATATCGGCTTTCGGGACATGGACACAATAATACGTTTAGGTAGGTTGATTGATACCTCGGACACCGGGAAACGGGGGTACCTTCGGTTTTCTACAAAGGTCGGCTATGTGTGATAATGACATGTCAATCCAGTGAGTAGGCTAACCTTGGAAGATTAGGAATTCTGTGCCCCTTTAAAACTGCCATCGGGCGAGTACGCATATACCTGCTCTAACAACTTCACCGAAACAAGGCTTTATCAAACAGCACCACAACAATGGAGAACGATGCGAATGTAACAAGCGCTCCAGGTCTCGAAAATGCAAAGAAAAACTACATGCTGCCAAATAATCAGAGAGAAATTGAGCGGATGAGGAACCAACATGAATGGATTAAAGTTTCCTTTGGGGGTTTGATCAAAGCCCCGGTCGACTTCAGCAAGAAGCACCAGAAAATATTGGACGCAGCAACCGCAGATGGTAAACGTCGCCCTATAAACCATCAAGAAGGCATACAATTATAATTCTGACAAAATTTATTTTGTTTTAGGAACGTGGTTGCTCGATGCAAGGACACTTTTCCCACCGGAAACCGAGTTGGTGGGTTTCGATATCGCGTAAGTTGTCAGCACCAAGCCGAGAAAGAGACTGCACTAATAACAATTTTTACAAATTCGTCAGTCCCGAGCTCTTTGGGCCACCGGAATTACGACCCCAGAACGTAAGCCTCGTTACTGCGGACCTGCTAGCAGGTCTTCCTGCCGAATGGGATGGATGCTTTGATCTGGTTCATCAGCGTTTCGTGTTTCCGAATTTTAGCAGCGACATCATCTCCCAAGTCCTTGGTGGCCTGATGAAATGCGTGAAGCCGGGTGGCTGGATCCAGCTCGTTGAGCCTTGTGCAGGCGAGAATGTGTCGGGGCCAGACCCCAAGTGGTTTCTGCTCCTTCATCAGCTTTCCAACCACTTTATGAGGTCTGCGGCCCCAAGAGACGCAATTCTCGCCGCACTCAAAGATGGAGGCTTCGTCAACATCAGTATCGAGTCGTTGGATATTGTGATCGGAAAGCACCAACCTAATAAAGAAATGGATGCCCGAGGTCGGAGAAGCATGCAAGACGCGGTTCGTAATATGTATTCAATGGTTAGGTAAGTGCCGGTTCATGATTTCCCTTGATGACAGGTACTAATAATGCTTGATTCATAGCGCCGAACAGCTCGGTATGCCGAAAGAAGACCTGGAGACAGTGCTTGGCAGGTTCGAAGCTGATATCGAGAAATACCGTACAGCTGTGCGTCATATTATTATTTGGGCTCAGAGGCCAGAGTAGCTAGCTAGCAATATCTTCAAGAAAGAGTAGCCCACTTACTTGGCTGAGAGTACCTATTCGTACCTATGCTAGATTTCATTGTGATGTAGTATGGCATGGCGATTTCTGAACTCACTTTGCACCGCCGGTCCTCGGAATCTTCATCAGACAGTAGCAGCTACTCTGGCCTGCACAACTCATGCACCAAATTAGAGATAAGAAACACACTTTTATGATGACATTTACTGATATAGAAAAGCTAGAGATTCCGCACTTGGTGAAGAATCATGTACGTTATCAATCACTGTCGTCTCTATTCCCGAAGCAATCCGAACGATCCTACTGGGGTCTCAACTCAATGGCTGCTGCCCAGGCGTTTCGCAGCGGCGAGATGCTAGCAATATTCCAGCCAGCTTTCTCTACAAGATCCCGCCACTCGGCCTCCGTCCTCTCTTGTCCGTTGGCAAGAGACATCATCGTCGCATCTCCAAAGCGCCAGATACGAGAGCTCCTCCCGTCCTTCAGCACGGACTCAATGACCACCATTCTGGCCCGCGGTGTTATCTCAATAGCTCGACGGACGGCTGAGAGAATTTTGACGACATCCCCGTCCAGCCAATTGTGCAGACACCACTTCATCGTGTATACTTCGTACGAAGGCACCTCCTCTCGGAAGTCTCCGACATGGAAGTCAACCATCCGGTGCCCGACATCCGCAAAGTCACCGCCGGGATTTTGGTACTTGGGCTTGACCATGTCAATAACAGTATCAAGCTCGAATAGTGCGCCGCGTAGCGAGGGATGACGACGCAGCAGCATCGTGATGAAGTCGCCGCCTCCGCCGCCCACGTCCAGCACGACAGCATCACCAAGCTGTGCCCAGTCATAGTCAGCCATCATTCCAGGAGCCTGTGCCACGGCACCTGCTCCGAGAGTCTTATGAAACTTGTCCTGTAGGCCCTGTCGTGCAAAGTAACGAAACATATCCTCGTCTGTGTTGTAGTGAATCTGGGCGGCGCACCGCGTCTGGCCTTGCTCGATGGCTTCGGGGATCCCCTCGGCGGCCTTGTAGTTTTCGTTACCGTAGAGGTCCACCCAGCGATGCCACTGAGTCCAGTGGTCCTTGGTGAGCATGGCAGAGGAAGGCGTGTTGCTGTAGGTGCCAACAGATGGGTCATACTCGAAGATGCCATTGTTGTGCAAGACTCGCATGACTTGTCTGAGGCGAACCGGTTGAAGTCCACTCTTCTTGGCCAGCTCTTCGATTGGTTGCGGACCCCCAGAGGAGAGCAGATCGGGGATGTTATGCGAGACTGCAGCCCAAAGACACTTTGTGTCAAGATAGGCTGGATGAGTGTGGAAATCATCATTGTTAGCTACAGTAGAAACAATTTCAAGGGAATACGTGCTTTTGGGGCGCATCTCACCTAGAAAGCTCTCCGCCAGCTGCAGCGACGGGGGCTGCAGCTTGCGAATGACTCTGTCAGCCAAATCGACGGTTTGTGAAGCAAGGTTCCAAAGCTCCTTGTCAGGCAGTGAATCCAAGGTCTGGAGGTGTTCCAGCCGTTCTTGGTTCAATGGGCCTTCAAATGCGTCTGCTGCTTCTTGAAGCGCGAGGTTTATCTTTTTCAATGCAGCCTCCATGATCAAGAACTGATATTTTAATCGTTTGCTATATTATTTCGAAGACTCTAGAGATGAAGATGAGCATTCTGCTTCCGTCAGGGATGTTTGGATACAAGAGTGATGGGACGGACAAAAAAGTCTATGGGTGGAGGACCTTGTTCTACGCCTGATACCACATGATTATTACTTAGGCCGGAACCCGACACTCTGTTCTTGGTATCCGAACTGAAATGGCAGGAATACATCATCTACAAGTTGACAGGAAACGAGGAGATGGCAGAGGGGAATATTTCAACACGGCTGCAAATGTCAACATGACAGAGACTATGTATGGTTGTATTATACATTCTCTAGGAAGGACAAAATGAATCCTGTTTACCTTCCCGAGACATTGCCGTCAAAATAATCACCCGTTTTCTTGCCCTTCCACCCGTCAATTCCCTCTCTCTGCGCCTCAGCCCACTTCTCCTCTACAATACTTGCGTGTTTCTCACTCCTAGCCTTAAAGTGGCACGGGAACTTTACAGGTGTAAGTAGAAACCCCGGCTGCGCGGCCGTGGAGGGCTCTATCTCGTTTCCATTCGTATCCTTGGATTTTCTGATGTCGAAGGCCCAAAAAATACGGGCGATGTTGATGAAAAGCGAGTTGTGGGCAATATGAACACCAGGACAGTTGCGGCGACCAGCACCAAAAGTGAAGTGGTCGCGCAGTTCGGGGTTTGGCTGGGCCATAGATTCAGCTTCAGTCAGAGGATCCTCAAGGTAGCGAGTAGGATCGAAGCGCTCCGGGTCTTTCCAACGTTCCTCGTCCATGTGAATCGCCCTGTAACGCTGCTTAGTTTCTCCTACAGCGAGGCTAGTCAGGTTGTTCTACTCACCACCAATTAAGGACAACGCCGGTTCCCTTGGGAATAAAGTATCCATTATACCAGTCGTCCTGGGTCGTGGCATGAGCAGGGCCAATCTTGGTAGATGCCCTCCACCGCAAAGTTTCTTTGGCGATCCCACGAATGTACGGAAGGTTTGGCTCATCACTGAAATCGGGCATTCGATCTTGACCCACGACTCGCTCAAGCTCCTCATGTGCGCCCGCTACTATCTCGGGATAGAGGAGGCAGGCTAGAACGACATTGTTCAGGGCTGTCGTGGTGGCGTCACTGCCCGCCTCGATCAAAGCGCCGGCAGCAAAAGCGGCCGTCGTATCTGAAATTGGATTCTTCTTCAACTTTTCTCGTGCCATGTCCTTGATAAAGCAGTCTGGTGCCGTTCCATTCTTGATATCGCTCATAAGCTTGTTGTATAGACCAAGATAGATTTCCGCATCTTCCTGGTACCACTTCTGAGCAACAGTCTTCCAGTTCTGTAGAAGAAACTGGGGGACAATATCAGCAAGCATAGGCAGCATGTCAACAATCCATTCTCCTGGAGCCGTCGCCAAGGAGAAGTGACGGACAATCTTCAATATGTCTTGGTAGAGCCGGTGCTGCAAAGTCGGGACCCGGAGCCCGTATGTAATGGTCATTATCGTGCTGGTAGAGTACCGGCGATTGATATCGCTGAATTCCCAATCATCTTTAGCGTGTAAGATCTCCCACACAGCCTGCTTAGACTCAAAATCTTGCACAGGCTTGTACGTCGAGGATGTTTCCAAGTTTAGGGCAGAGTGAAGGATGTTCCTAATAGTGCGCCATTTGTGACCATAGGGCAGGAAATTCAACCGCTCCCCGTTGGAGACCGTGTTGATCATGATGCTGGGGGGACGCGAGGAGTAGATGGAGCCCTTCTTGTCCATGAGCTCCCTGACCACCTTTGGGGACGAGAGCCACACGAAATTAGACAGGCCGACTTTGGTGTAGAATATCTCGCCATACTCGTCAGCCCAGTCTTTGGATTTTTGGATCATCTTGTCCGTGTCGGCCATGTCCAGCATGTTCCCGATCAAAGGGAGACCTTTCGGTCCTGGAGGTAGGTGCTTCAACCGCCCGTCCCTGGTCCATCGCTTGAATGCAATGAAGAGCTGGCGAATGTTAGCACGGACCACGTTGGGGGCGATTCGGATGTATTACCAGCGAGCAAGCGGTGATCGGCAGAATGAAGAGGAGGATCACAGCCATTGTTGTCGAAATCAATTGTTCTTTGTGAGAAAATGCAAGGCGATGGTGGTGATACTATGCCTGTCTCTGTTTCCTCTGAGAGTCAAGTCATAACCAGAAAACTAAACTATGGCATCCCTTCGGGGCCATTAGCCCCTCATTGAAGCTTTCCCTTGCCCTCGGTGGCCGAGATGTCTCGAGGTGACATCCAAATTGGACTTTCGGTGATCATAAAGTAGCGTTCCGGGGCGTTATACGTGAATGTCTAGGCACTGCATATCTGACCGATGTGGCCGCCCAATCGGATCTTTCTTGTGCATCTTCTCGGGCACTTTTGACCAAATCTCACCCTCATTACCGGCCATCTAGTGACGAGAGAGTATGTCTGCATATTCGTTGCATAATTCTTGATCCTGGTTTGAGTAGCCCAATTATTTCTCCAGCCAGCTTCAGCATCAGATTCCCTCTGCCCCAGGTTGAAGCCTATGATATCCTCTCCCTATCCCCATCTCGTAATCTGCTGTCATTATCAGGCAGCATATCTCGCCCGCTATAATGGCTGCTCCTATCATATATGATGCTCTCGTTGTCGGCGGCGGTCCAGCTGGTATGGCCGCAGCTCTGGGTCTAGCCCGTGTCTGTCGCACTGCCGTTGTCTTCGACTCGGGCGAATATCGCAACCATGGCGCCAAGGACATACACAACTTCGTCACTCGAGACGGCACGCCTCCCACCGAATTCCGTTCTATTGCTGTGCAGCAGCTGGACAAGTACAAGGAGCACGTCTCCTTCGTCCGCAGCACAATCATCCAGGTCTCAAACACGGATGTCGCCCCTGACCTGAAAGGGTTCAAAGTAGTTGATAACACCCAGACCGAGTTTCTTTCTCGAAAACTAGTCCTTGCGACGGGTGTTGAAGACGTTTTGCCCACTGACATTGAAGGGTATAAAGAGAACTGGCCTACTCACATGTAAGCTTGACTGCCATGCGTCAGTGGTCCCATCGTCGGGGTCACCGCTTCCTGCTCATCGACAATCTTCAATCATAGCTGAACTGAAATAGATACCAATGTCCATTCTGCGACGGCTTTGAGCGGAGGAGCTACCCCATTGGCATCCTTACCTTCCCCAATCCTTCCTACTCTCACCTGGCGCTTATGCTCCGCCCCTTGAACAGAGACATCACCATCTACAGCAACGGCCTCGTTCCGACCGACGAGCCCATCCAAGAAGCCCTGAAGATGGTCCTGGCTGCTGGCGTAAAGCTAGATGAGCGCCCTGTGCGCCGCCTTATTAACAACGGGGACGGGCCCGCCAATGGAATCTCAATCGAGTTCACCACCGGCCCGCCTGTGAAGCTGGGTATGCTGTATCATCGGCCCCCCACACGAAGCCGCGCCGCCAACTTAATTGAGCAGCTGGGGCTTGAGACTAACCCTATGGGTGACGTTATAACGGATGCCATGATGCTCAAGACAAATGTCCCTGGCTGCATTGTGGCAGGAGATACACAGGAGAATATGAAGCAGGCTACTGTAGCTGCCGCCACTGGTGAGCTAACCTTTCAATTTTGAGAATAATTTGATCATAAACAAATATTTTCCATTTGCTAACGTGCATTTTACAGGTTCGCGTGCTGCTGCATCCGTGGTCTTCCAGCTAGCTGATGAGGACGGTAAGCGGGCTTTGGCCGAGGCTCATCTTTGAGCCAGCGAGTGAATACTTATGAATAATTGAGATGATGTGAGGGGAAAACCTATTAAACCTAATAATAAGTGTTTTGAAATGACCGAAGCTCGTATTAATGCCTTTTTCTGGCCCTATGAGAACAGTGCGTAGTCCATACCAGTTGGTGAAGATCCATCAAGCCCGTAGACATGATCGTGGGCAATTGATGAACAGAAATTAAATTGCACACTTTATTTGCAAAGCCTCTGACGTCCCGTACACGACTACTACCATACAAAAAATATATCCGCCGACAAATGAAATTACTAGGCATTGTCTCCCATAGAAGACTGGTGCATCTTGAAATAGTGGCCCTGCTTAGACATGAGCTCAGCATGAGTGCCCTTTTCAACAATACGGCCTTCATCCATAACAATAATGACATGGGCATCCCTAACAATGTTCAAGCGCTGTCGATAAACTCGCGTGAGCCTTCTCATCAGCAAAATGAATTGGTCGGGGACTTTACTTACATGAGTAACAAGGATCATGGTCCTCCCTTCCTGGATATTGCCGAGCGTCTCTCGAACAAGCTGCTCCGACTCGGCATCCAAAGCGCTGGTCGGTTCGTCCAGAAGAAGTAGTTCAGGCTGTAGTATCAGTGCTCTTGCGATTGCGATGCGCTGCCTCTGTCCTCCTGAGAAGGATACCCCCTGCCCACGGCACTGGGTATTGTAGCCATCTGGGAGAGACGAGATAAACTCAGCCAGGCCGGCTGCTTCACAGGCAGCCACCACATCTGCCTCCTGTATCTTATCGTCATCAAGACCGAGGGAAACGTTATCACGGATAGTGCCTAGAGATATGAGGTGTTAATGTCTAACGCCAGAGTCGGGCATCAGTTCGTCGGAGATGGCTTACCGTTGTACAGTTGAGGTTCCTGGGGGACTATCGCCAGCCTCTTTCTGTACTCACCAATATTGTGAGCCGAGATGGGCAGACCAAGAACATTCAAAGTCCCAGACTGGGCGTCGTAGAAGCGTTCCAGGAGAGCCAGCAGCGTTGACTTTCCAGAACCAGAAGTGCCGACCACACCCACTGTTTGTCCCCGCTGAACCTGAAGCGAGACGCTCTTGAGAACCGTCACATTCGGCCGCGCGGGGTAGGCAAATGTAACGCTTTGCATATCTACAACGGTGTTTGTCTCCTTCTCCAAACCATGATTCTCCGCTATTTGCCGAGACCGGTCTCTGTCTGCAGCTGCGCGCGCCTGGCTTCGGATACCGAGGATATTGTTCGCCGCAACCTTTGCTTTACCAAGATCTATCCACAGTTAGTCATTTCGGTCTAGAGGGGGCCGGTAGGGAAGAAAAAAAACATACTCGATGAGAAGCCAAACAGGGCCCCTGCGGCCTGTCCGCCTATAATGACAGCAATGAAGACGGTGAAGAACTTCTCAGTGGTAAGCTCGCCATCTCCCATGAGCTTACCACCATACCAGAAACCCAGGGCGGCAGCCAAGAGCTCCACACTCTCCGAGAAGGCAAACAGCAAAGTCATGACCGCTCGCTTACGGTAAAGTCTCCCGGCAAATAAGGTCAGGCAGTTGCGGTACATGTCACGCACTGCCGTCTCCATGGTGAAAGCTTTGACGGTACGAAACGCGGAAAGGGAGTCTGACACGAAACGCGCACTGTCCTCGGATATCTTGTCCATCTCTTCGGCGAGGGAGGAATCAAGCTTCATGCGTAAGTAGCCTGCGGCGAAGACAGCGGGCATCGCGGCGAAGATGGCCACGAGGGCAAACTTCCACGAGTAGGCAAGACCAATGATGCTTGCGCTGATGATGCTGATGAAGATGGAAATGAGGAGACCCATATTGATGGAGAGCAGCTCATGGAGGCTCGCTGGGTCAGAGGAGAGACGTGAAAGGAGTGTTCCCGAGGCCACCTGGTCAAAGAACTCTACAGGCTGGTGGAGGACGGCTCTGAAGTACTCGAGACGGTAGAACCGAGTGAGATGAACCCCAAGAAGTGTCATGAAGAATCCCAGAATGGCATAAGAAATCATCGAGCCTAAGCCGACGACAAAGAACATGAGGGACCAGAAGTTGGCGTCAGAGGACACCTGTTCCGGCGGACGCTGGAACACCTCCATGACCCTGCCAAGCAGGATGGCTTGGACCGGGAAGATCTGCGCAGTGATGGCACAGGCAACGAAACCTACAAAGAAAATTGGCCAGTACCGCTTTTGCTCTTTCGCAATCTCCAGGAGGTTGGTGAGAAGATGGCGCTTGGGGATCAGAGGGAGGCTCTCGCTAGGCTCGATGGTAGCAGAAGGTTGACTGACTTCCGCCAGCTCGCCGCCCAGCTCGGTGATCTTTGGGTCAATGATTTTACTTGTTGGCTCTATGGGGTCTTCATCATCTGATTCTTTTACCTCAGTCTGAGCATCGTACAATCGCCGGTACAAACCACCAGTGGCGATGAGTTCTTGGTGAGTACCTTGCTCGACGACCTTGCCATGATCGAGAACGATGACACGACCTGCTTGCACTGCAGAACGTATCTTGTGAGATATGAAAATGGTCGTTCGGTCCTTGGAATCAGTCATCAGGGTTTCGATGACCTTGGAATTTTCATTGTCAAGGGCACTTGTAGCCTCGTCCATGAGGAGGATTGGACGGCGGCCAACCAAAGCGCGTGCGATGGCGATTCTTTGCTTCTGTCCCCCGGAAATGAGCGACGCACGATCCCCAACTACAGTATTGAATGACTGCTTGTTGTTAGCCTTGTACAACGGGGTGAATAACAGGATATGATTAGCCTCACCTCGGGTAATGCAGTAATGAAATCGTACGCCCGTGCTTCGCGGCATGCATCATGAACAAGACATGTCTTCTGTTCCTGAGATAGGCCTTCTTTTCCAGTTCCAACCAAGCCGTACGCGATGTTATCAAAAATGGAAGCATTGAAGAGCTGAGGCTCTTGCTGCACCAAAGCAATTTGGCTCCTTAGCCATCTAGGGTCGAGCCCAGAGATGTCACGGCCATCCAGAAGAATAGAGCCAGAGGTGGGCTCGTACCAACGTTCCAAGAGAGATATAAGGGTACTTTTGCCTGCGCCGGAGGGACCAACAATAGCGGTAGATGAACCCTTGGTAAAAGAGAGGTCGATGTTATCGAGAGCATTGTGATTTTCGCGAACGCCGTAAGAGAAGGACATGTTGCGAAATTCCACAAGGCCCTCGCAACTGTCCGTCTTGTCACCTCGCGTGTCACTTTGGCCCGAAGAAGTTTGACCCTGTTTGGATTCATCATCGAGAATCTTGAAAGCATCATCGGCGGCGGCGATGGCTTTGATGAAGCTGGGCATATTCGGCCCCAAAGCCATGATCGCTCCGAGGCCGATCAACATGGAAAAGAACACTCTGTAGGGTTCCAGTTAGTCGTTATGGTATGATGGCTGTCCAAGTGACTAAACTTACGAGAGAATCCTTCCTGCATCCGAGATCATCCCTTTGGTGAAGAGGTATGCACCTAAGTAAAAGCCGATGGCCCAGCCAACAAACATGAAGAAGTACTGCGTCGCGAACATGAGACCGACAAATGGACCTCGCTTCTTCCCATCAGTCTCTGTTTTCTCCAAGATGTTGCTATACTTGGAAAGAAACTTGTGGGCAGCCCCAAAGGCAATGACAGTTCTAATGCTCCCAAGCGCATCTTCAGCAATGATGCTGCACTCGTTGTAGCGCTTCAACAGCCCAGCCTCGATCCTCTGGTCACTTGAGACAATGAACCCGATGAGGCCCAGAGTGACTATCACCAGTCCAAGCATGACCAGCGTCAGCTGCCAGGATTGCGAGAACGCAACGGCAAACGAAGCCAGAAGCATGGAGAACGCCTGTATCATGATACCGAGCCGGTCTGACAAGGCTGCCTGGATGGAGTTGCAGTGGACAGTGACTGTGTTGGACAAGCCCCCGGGGGTTTCGGCATCGTTGGCAGCGACGGTACGGTCGAGGATCCGGTCTAGGCACTAGAGACAACGTCAGGCAGGAGTTTAGACAGAAGGGGAAGAGGCCAAGGCCTACCGAAATACGCATAGTTTGTACCATACGACTTGCAGCGAAGGTGAAGCCGAAGCTCCAGATATATACAAGCTAAAGGTGCCGCGTCTTAGACTCCCGATAATACACAATAACGAGGGCTAAGGAGGATGGTGGGAGAGGGTTTGGTACCGTGACTTTGGCAATGAATAGATAGACAAAGTAGAGGGCGTTCGTCTGCACCGACTTCATGAAATCGGCGGTGGATTCATTTTCGTCGGAGCCTCCGTAGTCGGTGATGTTGGCTGTCAAGCGACCAAGAACCAGGGCCATCAATGGCATTGCTAAACGATTACAAGTCAGATGAAAGCAGGCAAGGCTCTGGACAACTGTCTCAACGTACCTGCTCCGCTGCATACAGCTGCAAAGGCACACCCGACCTGAATCAGGCGGTCAAGCTTGGTAGCAAAGGTGAAGACGCGCTGCAATACTGTTAACAGGCTGATCAAGAGGGCTGGGTCTAGTGATCACATACCATCAACTTGGCAAACCCGCCTGGGGGCGCCTCTTGCTGGCTCCTCAGCTCAGCATCGCTCTCCGCATCTTTGGCCATCTTTTTCGCATTCACTTTCTTTTCAACGGTGGAACTGGAAGGACTGCGGACCCAAGCAGAAAAATAGATGCCAGAGATGGAGAAGAGCAAGACGTGTCATACACAGACAAGGACAAAGGAGGGACAAGAAAAACAGCAGAAGTTACGCGATAGCAAATGCCAACTGTGTCAATAGTTTTTCCCCGGAACAAACGCGTCACGCTTGCCGTAGGAGTGATTCGCTATTGCCCATTCAATCAGATGCTTTGCCATGTTTACAGTTCTGATGCCAAGAAGTTGGGAAGGCTCCGAGCTTCGCCTACTTTTCGGAGACATATCTCGGCGACTTGTTGTTCTGCATTGGCTGCATAGCTAAAGTACCATCGCCGAAGGGTGTGTGCATTGCATGTGCTGAGAAGAGATGGTTGGCCGATGTGCCACCAACCAGAGGGGGGCGTAACTGTAAGACATTCGGGCCAGTGGGCTGACAATGTCCGTTGCTACTCTTACTGCGTATCCATTCCATTGCTAAAAAGCATCATCTTACCCACCCATCTCGCTACGACAAGTCAGTCTAAAGGCTCTACGCATTATAAGCGAAGAGCCTGATGGGTCGCGAAGGGCGCTGGATCCCGAATCCTTCTACACTCGGCCCGGCACACGCGTTGATCGCTCCGGATTCCGTCGTGGGTCTACCGCTCTGTCCCTAGTCCCTGGCATTTATTCTCAGGGGCAGGACTCTAGTGAGGGGAAGTGGATCACCAAGAGTGATCCTACCATATTACACCATGTGCGAGTTCGGGGCTGGGAGTGTTGAACGAACGCCAGGGGAGGGGGTTATTGGTGTAACTATCTTATTTAGCGCGGCTAGCAAAGGCTCTTTTTAAGCTTTCGTATTCATTGTGAGATGTCGGGTCTGGCATCTTCCATTGTTCAATGTTTAACTTCATACTCGAACTCTCTCTCCCGTATCTTACTTAGCGCTCTGCATCACACTGTCGGTTAGACTGCATACAGCTTTGACACGAATGGGATTTATTATCCCGTATATTTTGATAATCAACCCCCCAATAATAACTAGCCAGCTGAGGCAGCTCAGGCAATGTCACAGCCCGGGGTCAAGCTACCCAACATCCGAAACACCAGGCCAAGGCGGGTGTCATTCCGTCTGAGTTCCTATTGTGTTGGATAAAGGCCTTTGATTTTACGATAGTTTTTTTACTTGACATAGCGATTTTATGAGTCTTTACCAGCTTTGAATGAACTACATCAGCTTCGATATCCTTCTTAGGACGTCTCGCATGGTCGCGGCAGGAACAATCAACAACCCAAGCGTACAACAATATCTTCATCCTCCATATCACATTACACACTAGACTATGATAAGCTGCGTTGGCTCAGGCCACATAATATTCCTGATAAATGTATATGCGGCATCCACTCTATATACACTCATCCAAAATGATGATAAGCAATAAGATATCGAGTATGTATTTTACATTTGCTGAATTGTTGAAAGAAGGTTTATAAAATAGAAGCAATTTACCATCTGCTCATTAAAACTCTAAAGACCAAATCATTAGATCATGGCCGGACCTAAACGAACTGAACATCAAACCCAAGATCCAGCTCTGCAACCATCCCACTTATTGCACGGCGGGCGTGCTGCCAACCGCCATCAAGGATTTCAACAAGCCGTAATCGTGGCAGTTTCGCAGGGCGAGCATTAGCTAGAGACTGGAGCAGAGGGATAATCTCCTCATATTCAAATTGATCAATATCCCAATCTCCAGGATATGAATCATTATTCAGAGCAGTCCCAGGGAGAGTAAGGACCTCGACACTGTCAGGGGCGTAGTCTTCCAAAGCCAGAGGACGCCAATCCTTTGAAGAGCGCGATGTAAGCGGAATATCCAAATCGATGAGTCGTGTAAAATCACGGAGGCGGAGATTTCCTTGGACAGTCATTTCTAGGTTATCGGCTAACTCGTCGTCACACCCAAGCCAGAAGAATAATCTCAGCTTCTCTAGCGTGTTTCTGAGAGGCTGGAGCGTGTCAGAAATCTTATGGAAATCTATAACAGTTGTCTCCCAAAAGTTTCCTGCGCCGTGATGTTCCCAGCTCCATTCAAGAGACTTTAAATTCCGCGTGAGAGCAAAAATCTTGGCTAAGAACGGCTCACAAAGCCATCCAATCTTGAGCGAAGTGAGATGCTCGAGGTCAGGCTCGCCGGCTGGCCATCGGAAGACTTCAGGATTTGTGACTGAGACTTCCAAGTCTACCACGGTTGGCAAGTAGAAGAGGCCGATTGTCTCTTCAAATATATGGTTGTTCTTTATACTTGAGACATCACGTCTCTTAACATGTCGTAATTCTGTCAACCGTTCAAATTTAGGAAGTTGGCCAGAAATCTTGGCTTGGAGAACTTTGCCGATAAGTGGTTGCCCGTTTATATAAGCGTCTTCGATTGTGAGATGAGTCGTCTTTGACAGATGCGTGATTAGGAGAGCAGCAAGCGCGTAAAAGCATGTATTGGCTGCTTTAAGCTTCTCGATCCATATATCGCTAAACGGGACCTTTGTTTTCTTGATAGCAGTTATGAATTCATCAAACAGAATTGTCGAAGTATTCATAGAGGGCGTGGGAGTTCTTTGAGCGATGGATCCTTTTAGTGATACGATGTCTAAATGATCAAATAGAGCTGGTCTTCGTAGAAGAGTACGAAGAAGAGCGACGATTGGGGGGAACTTTGGATATTTATACTTAAGCGTAACGGTGGAGTAGAGAAATGGCTCAGCAGAGTGTTTCAATGACCTATTCAGCAAACAGATATTGGGCAGGTCAGATCTCGGAATGGAACTCAAGATCTGGTCAATGATTTCGTTCGGGGCGTCCATAATTGATGCCATAGCAGTTTAAGTGTTCGAAGACCGAATGGATGCTAGTGAGGTCTGATGGTGGCTAAAGTTTTACTCATGGAGCTCGGTAAAGAACCAGTTGAGCCAGATGTGGGAAACGCTCAGATATATGGATGCGCCGAGTGTGTTGGCTTGAAATGCTGTTAGTCTCAAGGCCTAAGCCGGGGTACCCTTGACATCGATGGGGAACTCTCGCACTTGATGGCTTTCCACTCGCGCAGAACTCTTGTGTACGGATTAGCATGAGAGAAATTGAACCACGGCCTCAGGTAAACATGAACTATTGTCACACAAGAAGATGGGTTAGTTCCTTGACAAATGAGCAATGCTCTACGATCTTGCTAACCAGGTGAGCTGCAATCTGCTTGGCTCCTAGAGACGCTACTGTGTTCCTCCGCATGCTTCAGAGCTTCAGCTCTGTAGCTGATGGAACAACCACACCAGAGCCGTCTCCGTATAACGACTCTCGTTCGCTGCTCGATGGGAAAAGATAGGAGGTCACTTGGGTTGATAACACATGACCAACGGCTCCATTACTTCCCGGGCACGACGAGCAGTTCTTCTTATCCCTTATCCAAGCTTCATTTTAGGGCGTCTTGTCTACGTTGCATGCGAGGGACGAGCTAACAGGGCGCGGCACGCAGATGGTGTACGACTCAACCAGAGTATCGCCGAAGAGTTGCTTATACCGGACCAGGCCACCTCGATGTTCTTTTCTGCCTTGATCATCGTTTCGCCCGTGTAGCCGATGTTTAAGCATGCCCAAAGACCTACGGGACCGCATTTGACAGAACCAAGTCATGTTCCTGGTCTGCGTCACCAACACCTGCCCCTCGAGCATCCTCGCCATCGCTTACGACTGGAAGCTCGCCAGGTCGTGGTCTTCACCGGCATGCCCATCCTCATCAGCTCCGAGTCGGGCAAAGCTGGCTAAACATAAGCTTGAGAACGATACGAGCGGGCACTGGCGACGGAGGCGGTGACATCGATCCGCACGCTGGCATTGCTCACGCTAAGGAGCCGACCTGTAACGAAGACAACGCCTCACCCGACCACATTGCCAAGCTTGCGCTTACAACTATCACATTCGGCTCGCCGAGTTTCCCGTCGTCGCAGTCGCTCGAGTTCCTCTTCATTGCGCTCGGCTTATGTTTCGGCTCGCGGCTCATCGTCATGGGCGAGTACACGTTGACGCAGTTCCTTGTCGTCTTCCTGTCCATGTCGTTTGGTGTTCAGGCGGCGGCTGCGTTCGACTGTATCACTTCGCTACTAGACAGGCTCGGCACGGCGTACGGGTCGGAGGATCTGCAGCTCTTGAGCGAGCAGCGGCAGCGTGTTCTCAGACGGGCATTGATCCGGCAATGTCGGCGAGGGACACCCAGAGCGAACGGTCGGGAGGCGCTGGACCGGGCGGCAGCAGAGAACCGCACGGCGATTGCGGTGTCGCGCAGGCTAGGCGACATCAGGTACGTGAGCATCGGTATGGTATTCGCGGACAGGCGGATTGTAGACAGAGGCACGCAGGACGAGCTGCTGGGTGATCGGCTGGCCGTTGGTAGAACTCTCCGATGGTGGAGATTCGCGTAAACATGAAGACGCGAATCGCGTCTCAAATGGATCCCAAGGCTGACTTACCCTATACAACATAGTATCATTTCCATAACTTGGAAGACATGTATCCTTTTTCTGCAGACTATGTACATTGATCAAATTTAATTTCAGTGGCCTTGAGACATAACAATCTTCCTGCTGTGCCGCATTACTCATTTCCTAAAACTCTCGCTCGAATGTTTTACAACATCCACTCAGTTTCGGGCTACAATGACTTTTGTCAACGTCTAGGACAGCCGCATATGGTACCTCTTTGCGAAATGGTGATCGTCGTTTAATTTAATCTTAGTGGCATAAGGAGCTTTTTCATTAAGCCAACTACAATTCAACTTCCCAACAGTGAAATAGAATAGGGTTTTCATATTGGTGTGGAAACCTATAGCACTATGCAGAGCTTGTGCACAAAACAAGAAGACCCCATGGATCAGCTTTTCTGTCCTCAGTTTAGACCTTCGACGCCTTCTACTCGATATGAAAAGTTGTATGCCGCAACAACCCGGCTTACCAACACGTTGGTCTCAAAAAGGTTCTTCGACAGAACTCAAAAGAAAAGAGTGCTTTCTCACTCCATATTTATGTAGGCTTGTACACATGAGGTTCAATCTTTAACTACCAGCGTAGAAAGTTCATTGAGTAGCCCTCGCCTCTTCGGCTTAATGAAATCCAGCCCCCGATTTGATTTCAAATCTACTGAGTCTTTTAAATTAAAGGGTCTTTATGTGTTATTGATCAGCATTTTTGCTCCCTTACTAAAATGGTCTGCTTAACTCAAGCTTCAGCTGGAGGTCTCAACATTCTTCTCGGCTCCCAGAGCCGCCTCTTGGGAGATCCGGATATCTCCTTGTAATGAGCCAAGACGGTTATTGTACGACTACACTCTTAAAATAGCATCATCCCATGTTGATTACAAAGCTTTGATACCATGAATGGGTATCAAATCTGGCCAGATCCTTCACGGACGGTTCGATATACCGGAGCTTTTCCTAATCGGACCATCCGTCTATAAGGAATCCTTGCTTGCGATATGAGTCTTGGTTACGTTTATATTTGGTGCGGTTGCTATGAATCATAGTGGCCTTCTTGTTCCTTGGGCAATGGAAAGAAAGAGTGGCTTAGAGGATCTAACTGTGATACAGAAATCAGGAACTCATGCCCATTGTAAACGATAAATTGCCATAGATACTTCGGTGAATATTGCGGTTCCCGGCATGCGGTAGTAGCTGTTTATGATTCCTGGTTGAGATATTAATTCCTTTTATTATTATTAAGGAAGACCTTGTTTCTAATCATGAGGTTCTCCTGCCTTGTTCGAGTGAAGGGCTCTGAAGATGATGGCATTCATTGGGCTAGATCTTTGGTAGGCTCTTGAGGATGATGCCAAGTATATTGACTGACCGGATCTACCGGTACCTGTAACAGAATCAGTGGCTAGCGCGAGCAGTAGATTGCATTCAATGCCGAGGGAGGAGGCTGTGCAGGAAGAGGCGAGGGGCTGTGCAGTTTAACATGTCAGAACAAGTGGAGCAGGTAATTACTGCTCAGCGTTTCACAGTCCTGAAAGGGGCATGGTTTACATTTAATCCAGGTTCTGTGATATATCCATTTGTTACCGGGCGAATATTGGGCCCTTTGGCTATGAGGTTGAGTAAAGAGTCGATAATGAGAATTGATTTACATATCAACAGACTTCATCCCATGCATCCATTCATTCCCAACGGTGCTCCTCATTGAAATTCCGCAACTCGTAATACAACATCACCGAGATGGCAAAATACGCAGGGTCCAAACTTCTCTATTTGGCTACGGCGGCAATGGGTTTGGGACTTGCAAACTCCCAACAAGCCTCCAACTTCGACGTGCCAACTGAAGTCGCCGAATCGCACTCTTGTGACGCTCTATGCCAACAAATAATTGCCCAAATGAATGTCCTAGACTTAGGAACCTTCGGAACAAACTTCGACTTCGACTTTTACGCAACCGCTGCCAACTTCTCCGAATCGAAGCCGGGCGACTTACTTAAGCTCTTGCCTCTTAGAAACTCCTCCGCCATCTCCAATGCCCCCGAAGGTGTAACGGTCTATAAGTTCCAGTACACATCCGCAGCGGTGGATGGTGCACCTGTCCCGGTCACAGGGCTGATTGCCTTGCCCCCTGCTAAAAACGATTCGCGATCTAACCTCGTCGCATTCGCCCATGGGACAACCGGCCTCTACCGAGGCTGCGCCCCCTCGACGTATACTCAGCTTTTCAATGATGATGGGTGGCCAAGAGCTGTCGCGGCTGGCTATGCAGTCGTAGTGTCCGACTTTGCTGGGCTTGGAAACAATTACACAGAGCACTTGTATCTCAGCAAGGCACAGGCAAATGACGTCTACTACTCTGTTCTGGCGGCACAGAAGGCCTTCCCGCAACGGCTATCACCTGAATGGGTTTCTCTAGGCCACTCCCAAGGTGGTGGTGTCACCTGGCAGCTCTCAGAGCACAAACTCGTCCAGGACGCCAGTAGTGGTTACCTCGGCGGCGTGGCTTTGGCTCCGCCAACCAAGCTCAGTGATCAGTTTCAATCTGCTCTAAGGAACATCCAAAGCAACAGTAGTACTGCCGATCAGATTCAAACCTTCTTGACAACCATCCCGCCAACTACTCTTGGTCTCCAGAGATACTTCCCTGGTGACTACGATGCGCCCCTACTGACGGAGAAGGTCAAGGAAAGGGTCGAGTTGGCAGGCATTGGCCAGCTCTGTCTTTACGCTCTCGGTGGTCTCATGCTGGATCTCACCCCCAACGACGTATTCCTGAATCTGAATAACACAGACGATTCTCTGATGCAGAAATTCCAGGCCCTTAATTCTCCAGCCCAGGGAGACCCTGCTGAAAAGCCTCTGCTCGTCATCCATGGGTCGGCGGATATTCTGGTGAGCCCACAGTCCTCCAAGGCTTCTTTTGATGCCTCTTGCGGCTACGGCAATATCCTTCATCGAACAGTATACGAGGGGCGGGACCACGGTTCAGTACTGAAGGACAGTTCTACCGAGTGGATTCAGTTTATTGCTGATCGTTTTGCTGGGAAAGACTTTGGGTCTACGTGTACTGAATCCGTGGTGGGAGGTAGTGAGTTGTAGAAAGAAAGTTAAATTTCTCACCGGGAAAGAATCGAAGAACACGAACGCAGCAAATACCTAAATACTTTGTAGTGTCTTATATTCAAAGTCTAAAACACCCTAAAATGCAACATTTTAGAGCACATTGCATTTTCAAAATGCTTGTGAACTAATACATGCCGTTCTAAAAGACCGATAACTTGAACCTGCAACTCAGTATTCAAATGTTCATTTATTTACCCCAACACTTTAGTATGCTACCTGCTAAGGAGGGGCACTTGTTAGAGATATATATAGTCCTCTCTGTGGGGTGAGCCAAAAGTTCCGAAAAGTGTAATCCTTTCCGCCGTCCACCAAGTCCATATCAAATAGTAGGACGAGGGTAGCAACTAGTTTGTGAATAATCATCCAGCTAATCCACCTGCCACTACAAGTGTGTGCCCCGTGGCCAAACGGAATCCAACATTTATTCATCAGTATGAGTCTCTCCTTGGAAGTATTCTCAGGTAGCCAACGATCAGGATAAAATTCGTCCGGGTTCGGGAAGACCTCTGAGTTGCGTTGCAGGAGCCAAGGGTTTATCCCAACCTCCACGCCAGGCTTCAGGAACTGCCCGCAAATGGTTGCACCCGGCTCAGGCACAACACGAGCAAACATCAGGCCAACTGATGGATGCAGCCGGATTCCTTCCATGATTACAGCCCCCAGGTAAGGAAGCTTACTGACTCTTCGAAAAGATACAGACTTTGATTCCAGCTCAGACGTTGGGAACGCCTCGCGGATTTCTTTTCTCAATAGCTGATGCACACGGGGATGCTTTAAGGTATTGAATAAGATACTCCGTATAGAGATGGCCGTCGTATCACTTCCAGCAGCAATATTGTTGAAGCAGTGTGCCATTATCTCGCGCTCATTGATCGATGTAGGGCTTCTTCTTTGATTAAGGAGTAGGCGCTGCAAAAATGTCGAGGGCCGGTCTAGTGACTCGTCTCTCCCTTCGCTGATTAGCCCATCCGCTGCTATTTCCTCTTTGGCTAGCTGAAAGATCTTTTCATTACTCTCGGGGCCGACGATGAAGGGTGCTATGAACGAGTTCCCGAGAAGAAATCTATGGACCCAGGGGATTTGGCCGAACTAGAGGTAGATGTCAGTGAATGAACTGCTATAGACGATTTGGAGTATTTTCTATTACAATACCCATGTATCTATTTATGATTAAGCTTGTTTTGAAGAATCCAAGGTAGTCTCCTTTTTCGATGTGGTTTAGGTCTTTGCCGTATGTCAGTGCGCATATGGCGTCCATAGCGTACTGTTGCACAAGCTGGCTGAGATCAATAATCCTTTTCCCTGTTGCATATTCTTTTTGGATTTTGTGTATTAACCGCTCAGTAACGGGATCAACGTATGCTTCGAGTTGCACCATCGAGTTGAGAGAGTATGCATTTGCAGCACCGCGCCTAAGTCTCGAATGCATGGCCTTATCGGTCATCACGAACGGATCGGGAATGAGCCCTGTTTCGTCATATCCCTCCGCGAGAGAATAGAATCGAGACTTGTAAAACAGGGTTGAAACTCCATAGATGGTATGGAGCTCATCTGCGCTGTTTACAGAGAGGAGGTTCGGCCCCAGGCGAACAATTGGACCGTATCTCTGATGCAAAGCGGAATCATCTTCATAACTGAAACCCTTATACACTGACAATAATCGCGGTATCGGCGAGAGGGCTCGAAGGAAAGGCCCAGGGATTCTATGAAGGCCACGGCTGAAAATGGTGACAGTGCAGTAGTAGATCACAAGAAGAATGAGGACTATGTTCCAATAATCAACAAGCGTATTCGTGACTCTTGTAGTCAAGGAATATTCTATGGGCTGTATCATTTTCCATCTCTTGAAGAGCATGGGTATGGACACAAGCCTTGAATTTTGGCCTTACCCCCCTTTTTTGTGACGTTTGGCGGGTGTGCTAGACCTGATTTGTGGTAAATGCCGTCCATCCAATAAGAAGAACTCGGACAATCCACAAATGATGCATCTGGCCAATAAGAGTTGTTTTACCAGGTGGTGAGCTAACCGAGCTACATCTTGGTTTCTTTAGTATGGATGTATGTGCCAAACCACTTTGCGAAGTCATCGTCTACATTAAAATTGGGTTTATTTCTTTCCTTCACATCCATAAGGAGCCTGTTATTGGACGGTAGCGGCCAAGATAACCAGGCCAGTTTGGCTAACTGCTGGGCTGAGAAGTGTTCAACTATTTTTAGAAGTAATAGACTATAAGACCTGGTTGAATGGTATGATCAAAACCAGACAAGGCGTCGGGTTGATCATTTCGATACCAAAAGAGACTCCCGACTGGACTCATCTCCCATAGGAGTCAAATGCAGAGTCGCTGTAAGCTACTGAATTATCATGTACAGAGCGGACTTTTCTCAGCTTTCTTTTCATGTCGTAACTTAGATGCTTGGGTCAGGCTGGAGAGGAGCTCTCGGCAATAAATTTGAGCTAGAAAGAGGAAAAGGCTCAGTAAAAACATCCTGAACTTCCCCCATGGCGAGTTCGGGGTCCTCGACCCTTCCTGGAATCATGCGCTTAGTAAAAAGTTTGAAAGGACTGAGCATCTAGGGTTACTTGGCAGATGTCATCTCGGGGTTAAAACATGACTACCTAACGCTGTGGCTATTCCACGCCAATATGACATTAGCAACTGTAAAGGGTTAGAGCTAGAGCAGACGCACCTATGGCAATCGCTATTGGGCAAACCTTTCTTCCTCGGCGTGGTGCTGAACGGGCTTTATAAATCCGCGACTTAAGTCCCGATATAAGTGGCCCACCCCTTCCTCGTCTTCTCCCGTCGTACTTCATCATTCTCTCTCTACAAAGCTAAAGTCCGAATCAAGAATAACAAGATATGTCTGCCGAAATATCCAAGTCGATTTTCCTGTCCGCTGACGGCGACCTTGTCGTCCAACCGGTGACGGAACACTACAACATTGAAGGTTCCCAATGTCTTGTCCGGGTCGAGTATTCAGCCATCAACCCTTGTGATCTTAATTTCTTCCACATAGGGCTCAAATCCACAGTGACTGGATTCGAACTATTAGGGACCGTCTAGCAAGCTGGGCCAAACTCGGCATTTCAAATTGGAGACGCTGTCTGCGGCATTGCACCTGTCATGCTCCCAATGCCGTCCTCATATGGAACGCACCAGGACTTGGCCGTCGCAAGGTCCGAACTGCTCTATAAGGTTCCGAGCAACTTATCTCTGAAGGACGCGAGTGCTATTTGTATGGCAGCACATACATCGGCGGATGCCTTGTTCAACGTCATCGGCCTTGGGTTCCCAGCCGCCGATGTGACCGGCATCGATCCAACGGGGCGTGGAATTCTCATCTGGGGTGGTGCCAGTAGCGTCGGCTGTATGACTATCCAGATAGCCAAGGCTGCTGGCTTCCAGCATATATTTACAACTGCATCACTTAAAAACCACAGTGTCCTTCGACAGTTGGGGGCCACGCACTGTTTCGACTATCACAGCTCCAGCGTGGTCAACGACATCCAAACAACACAGAAGGACCTCGGTATTGATTTGACTATGGCCTTCGACACTGTCGGTAAAGGGGCCTCGGGTCATGGTGTTACAGATGGTCTCAGCACTCCTGCACTTACAAGGAGCGCATTGGACTCAAGCGGCTTCTCGAAGGATATTTACCTGGTCTGCACACTCCCGGTTCCCGCAGACTCCGCTTTCAAGTTTTGCACATCTTACAGACCAAACGGTGATCGAAATGCTATCGGAGCGCCCCAAGATCCGGAGGCACCTATCCGTATACACACAATTATGGAACATCTGCTGGCTAGTACGGACGGAGGCTTAAGACTGCCTGTTGTCACAGCTGTGACTGGCGTTGAGGCGGGCATCGAAGCAATCCGCCGTGTGGCTGCGGGTGAGGTGAGCATGGAAAAACTGGTTCTGAAGCATCCTCTCGAATAGTCGCAACAAGTGCATTATGTATAATAGTTCTTCGTTATTCATTTTGTTGGGATATCGGTTCTGGCATCTTCTATTGTTGTGCTTGACTTTATACTCGAACTCTCTTCTCTATAATAGCTCTTCGTATTCATTGTGTTTAGAAGTCGGGTCAGGCATCTTCATTGCTGTTTTATACTTTGTACTCGAACTCTCTCGTCGGTGCTCGCTTTCTTCTCCGGCCACTTGATTCCTCCCCATGTACTGAGGCTTCCATGACCGCAAGTGTTCATCACGGCAGTCGACTCTTTATAGAGTCGATGGTCTGTATCAACTGGTCTGTCCTGTCCAAGGCTGCATCCCACATTGTGTCTACCAACGAAGAGCTTTGTGCTGTTCCAGGATGAGACTTTGCGCCAGCCCTTTCCCTCAAGACACTTCCAAGCTGCGTCCACAACCGCGAGAAGAGCATCGTGACCGTCATCATATACATTGACGACGTAGCTTTGGAGGAGACCGGCGTTTGATCGCCTACCTGCAGAGATGGGAGCTCAACCGGGCCAACTTGCAGCCGTGGGAGAATGACCAGCCAGCTGCTACCCATTTGAGGAATGAGCGAGTGCTCCAAACACATTTGCATCATTTGCAGGATGGATGCATATGTTCCTGTCAGGCTACTGTGGCAGGACATGATCATGAAGACCGTTGCATCGTCGACACGTGGCGATGGCCAAGATTGTTTTGCCATGTGATCTCCAACAACTGACTGGTCTGAGGATGACATGTCCTGAGTGCATGGAGCAAACGATTGGGGAAATGGAAAGCCTGGGTGATCTGATGAGTCTGTAAATAGGATGGTATCTTCCCTGCTTCTTGAAATAGGAAGGCATCTCAAAATGTCGATGAACTCCGTGGTGACTCGGAACAGCTCATCGAAGATAAAGTGAGCCGACTTTGGCGTGGCGTTAATACTAATATTATGTCTTGTGCTGCTCCTATGCGGGGATGGCAAATTTGCACCACATTCGTAAATCTGGACGCTGAGGCTCGCTAATCTCTGGAAGGTAGAGACTAGGGGGCTTCCTAAATTTGCATTGATACTTTGACCTATGTTCTCAAAAGAGGGATTGGGCGTGCTGATTAAAGGAAAGGTTTGCTTCATATGCTCATTTGGAAATATGAGGTCCCAGTTGATGGAGGCGTGATTACCTGGGGCGATTGTGTTTCCTAGACTGTCAAAGATACCAGTGTTGAAGATCTCCTGAACACCAGAACCACCTTGTACAGTCAAGCTAGAAGTTGAGCACAATCCTGCTGGTTGGAGTAACTTGTTATGATCTACAACATGAACAGTAGCACGAGCCAGGAGACTAACCTTGCCCTTCAACAAGACTTGTCGGCGTATCCGTTGGAGCCCACCAGTCATTGTCACCCAAACTCGAAGTCGTCGGTACCGGAGCTATATTTTCCATAGGCTCACTCGCCGAAGGTGTGACATCGTCATCTGCTCGAGGCAAATGGGCGCGCTGTCCTCGAGGCTTCGTAGACGATCTCGCGGCGCGTGGACTATGCCGGCATATCGTCTTTAACCTGAGACATCGCCGACATGCAGCTACGCCTTCGTCTTTGACACATCGGAGCTTTTGCGCATGGCACCTGTCGCAGGACAAGCGAGTCTTGCTCGAAGGCTGGTGGCGGGGATGGTCGGCAGCGCCGGAAGGTATTGTTACAGCTGATTTCGAGGTCGACTCCGACGTCGATGGCGATGCCGAAGCTGCAGGCGGAGTGACGAATAGATCCATGACGTGGCTGGCCAGAGATCAAGCTTTGTGGAAGGGAAGATTCAAGGGAGCGAGAGCGGATGTGGTAACGACATGTGAATTGAGATTGAAAAAGTCACGCTAATGCACGATCGGCGTTTTGGTTCGGTGTTTTTGGAGCCACATTCGGCGTTTGCTGCACTCTTGATGACATGCTATGAAGACATGACAAATGGCGCCTGTTTACGATATAAAAAGCAATAGGACCTACCTATTATCAAACCAAAGATAATTCTGATACCTCGATAAATACTATTCATGATGGTTTCTCTCTCTAGTGTTTCCGCCTCCAACGCTCTTATCCCAAACGTGCTTCCGGCCGGCCTTGTTGCCGTTTTCTTCGGAGGGACGAGCGGTATTGGAGAAATAACCGTCAAAACCTTCGCAAAGTATGCGCGCAGCCCGCGTTTTTATATTGTCGGCCGCTCTCAAGATGCTGCTGATCGCATCTTGGCAGAGTGCAAAGCAATAAATCCAGGTGGCGAGTTCATCTTCATGAAAGCAGATGCGAGTCTGATACGAAACGTTGATCAGCTCACAAACGAGATCAAGGCCAAGGAGAAGTTCTTGAACTTGTTGTTCCTGACTGCAGGAGTTGCGAACATTGATCGAGCTGGTAGGGCCACCAAATGTTCCGGTTAGTAAAAGCATTTACTGACTACTTCTTGCAGAGACCAGTGAACATCTTCACCTCTTGGCAGCATTGAACTACTACTGCCGGGTGCGCTTCATCCAAAATCTCCTGCCGCTCGTCCAGCAGGCGCCGACTCTTCGTCGTGTGGTGACGGTGGGAGGCGGTGGGCATGAAGGCAATCTGGACCCAAACGACTTTCAGGCGCTACGTGTGCCAGTTCCTGATCTCCGCGAATATCTCACAACTCTAGTCACATTCGGGCTGGAAAATGTGGCGAAGGATGCTCCAGAGGTCAGCATTGTGCATAACTACCCGGGCACTGTGAAGACCCCGCTCTTGGACTCTATACCGGAGGAAGTGTTGAACACTTTCACCTTTTTGCCTCTGGAAGAGTGTGGCGAGAGACAGGTGTTCATGGCAACCAGTGCCAAGTATCCACCTGCGAGCGGCCAGAACGCAGGGATACCGTTGGTAGATGGGGTCAACGTAGCGATAGGTACGACTGGAGAGGAGGGCAAGGGGGTGTATTCTGTAGGTGTGGATTGTGAAAGTGCCTCTCCTGTGGTACGCGAGAAGCTGGCTGGCTTGAGGGAGCGAGGTATCGTGGAAGAAGTCTGGCGCCATACTCAAGGGGAATTTAAACGGATTATGGAAGACGAAATTCAGTCTTAGACTCTTAGCAGAAGGGTACTACTACCACCGAATTATATGCAAACTACCAACATATGCTTGGATTTTGGATTGCTCAAAATCGAGCTTGCTGTTGCATGTAACAACTAAGTCGACGAAATAATTTCGCGATTGAAAATCTGTGTATCTCTATTCTACTTCAGAATTCCTACCATGGTGATGTCAATCGCTTTGATATATAGCATGATCGTGATAAAGGATGTACTAATTTCAGCTCATATAATATCCTAGATCTACAGAGAATAATATTATAAGACATGATAGTTACAAAAATTTATATTCAAAGCCTTTGGAATCGTGGCTAGTACATTACGCTTGTTTCCGGAAGTTTACTGCCGAAGTTGCTACCCACTCCGGTTATTTACTTCCAACCGGAAATCAAATTGATCATAGAACAAGGCTTTTCCATACACATACTTCATTGATCATATCTTTTTCCAGTTACGAAAGCTAATTCGAAGTTCCGTGACTTTCCCAGGAAAATCCGTAGTCTGAGTAGCCTATTTGATCTACGAATGATAACTCGTGTGCATTGAGTCCTTCCATGACCGATGAAGGAAGAAAAGGCAGACCTTGCACCGAGTCCGATGCTGCCTCTGTCGGTGTAAAGGGAAATATAATGTTTGCATGTTCCTTCCCACCAATCGCAGCGAAACTCATTCCAGACAGGCTCGCATTACCTTGTGGTAACTGACATCCGCGGTCTATTATTTCCGCTTCAAGATCAGTTCCCGGATCCGCGGCGTGATTGAGGCCCGCCATATAGCCATCCACGACGTTGGCCATGAGTATACCTGGCGGGTAGGTGGGAGCCATGAGGCTGATTGTCTTCCGGAGCGAGCAAAGTTGCGATATCATCTCCGATTGCTTCTCGTCGTCTACCTGAAGGATCACCTCTCCCATGAGAGCCGTAGCTGCGGTGCCCGCATGTGCAAGTCCCGTCCCGTAAACCTTAGCCAAGTCGAGGTGTTCGCGATATTTTTCAAATATCTCAACGATCATTCCCGCATTTTCAGCACAAACAGAACGAGAGAGCTTTGTAAAGTGGGTTTTGCTATCGCCAGTAGCTGATCTGCCATCCGACGATTGCTCTGGGGGTTCATATTGAACAAACGGGCGGTGTAATAATATAAGAGCCACGTAGTATTGAGTACTTGAACTTTTAGTGCATAGGAATAGAAACGGTCTGCCCACTAATGCTGGTAAGAAACTTACTGGAGTAAATAAAATGAACTCGGCATGTCCCAAGTTCTTGGTGGCCACCTCAAGTCCTCTAGCAACTCAGACCGCCAACTATTCAACTCTTCGTCAAGTGACGCCATTCTAAAGTAGGTTTCTGCTGTTGTAGACGGTTTTAATACTACGCATCGATCGCAAAGTGGGCTAATAAGACCCATAAGTTTCAAAAGTGCCTCATATATCCTGGTAGTCAGCTTCTTCTCGTGGCCGGACGGCCTACAGAAGATGAGTTTAGTAAAGTCACGAGACAAGCATACTGGCGCAATGTCCGAGAGTTTTAGTGTCGTTGGCCGGCCAAGATATAACGACCAATGCCTGGTCAAATGGTCAATGGGCTTGCTCGACAGTAAGATAGAGAAACAACATACATGTCGTGAACCAGGCTTGCCCATAGAACCATATGGCGAATCTGAGCTTCCTTTTCCGTAAGACATAGTGTGGTGGGGTCAACATGAAGTCCAACATCTGATACCAGCCGCAAAGACATGCCTGTTTTCCCTGGTTAATGGGCTGATTAGACTGACACAAATATCTTCCATACCTGCAAACAACCAACCGATATCATCCCGTCCAATGTTGAATTCAATATCAGCCAAGAGGCTAAATGCCTGAATTGATGGGATGCCACCAGGCCTGTCCTGCTCAAGCTTGGCAAATACCCTGGCCTTCTCGTGAATTGTTGAACCCGCAGTTCCAGGAGTTGCTACCAGTTGTTGTATATCTCGGCGAGACTTGTCGGCATATTTGAATCCACTAGCAAGCACAGTTAGGTGCAAGAAGACAGAGTAGAATTGTGTGCCCCCTCGCTCCAGATCATGGTAAAAGGCGTCAGAATGTATTAAGTGGAGTACTGAATTGTGGCATGTCCAATACAAGTCCATTAGATAATCGTGGGTTTCAATCGTCAGATCCCTTAGAAGCATACACATTGGCCAATGGGCCTCCCGTCGCTCCGACGTTTCCCGCGGGGAGTTTGTTGTCAGGACATTCATGCTTGTAGTTGGGCCAAAATAGCGTACCCGGCCGGAGGACATGTCAAAACGGATCGGAGATGGGACAAGGTTCTTAACAGTAGAGATCTGCTCCTCAGTATCTGATTTGCTAGCATGCTTAGAACTTGTTGGTGACCCATCTGGCACGTCGACAACTATTTCCATATCCGGCAGGGTGTGAACATCATGGAAAAGAAGGCTTTGGCCGGTTGTAACTGACGCTTCGCCCGGAACATGTTCCGGAAGTGCCACTTTACCAGATATTTCTTTCTCTCCAGTGCTTTGTTTCAGTAGCTGTTCCAGCTGGCGTACGCGTTCAGACAGTGCTTCGGTCTCGGCTTTAACAGCGGCGCGGCTGAGAAAATGAGCTTCAGTATTTCCTTTTCTTCTTTGGTATTCTTCAAATCACATCCGTCGACAGTCCTCTACTTACTCTTTCCGCCCATCTCGTGTATCGAAAACACATCTAGTCCCATTTTGAACGCAGTTTAGGCATTTATCATTCCCCTTGTCTGGGACACACTGAAGCGGCGAGGATCAGTGACTTATACTCAGGAGTTGGGCAAGGTGCATACACGAGTGCGGCTCTTCCGACATGGCAGACATGCCGTAGTTGCGCGTGAGCGCCGCTGGCCAGATTTTCGCTCCATGGGCCAGCATGTATACTTCCACGAGCATAGGCCCTCGCTCTAGGATCGGGTGTAAACTGCCTTAAATACTAAAGTCGTCTAATGCACACCGGATAAACATTGCAGGTTTGACCCCGCAGTGCATAAGTTGATAGAGATAGCCGAGACTTTGACTGTGGGGAAGGACTAGCAAAACTCCCCCCATGCGGGGGACTACACTACACGCAGCGTCACTCGCGGCCGATACAAGGGTCCTATTGTCATGGCACTTTATACTAAGACTGGATGATAGAGGAACGTTATAAATCTTGGTTTTAGAGAATCGAGAAGCTAACTAGAAGCGGCCTCGATGCAAAAACTTGTTTGGTATGTTTACCCATTTCGATCGCTTGATTATCGTATTAGAGCTTGGACACGACTGTCGATATGATGGATGAAACTCACCAAGTACTCTCCTACATTTTTACCCAGGGTATCGTAAGTACTTGTCGAGTTGAACCCCCTGTCAAGGTGGTCGCGTAACAAGAAATGAACTACTGTAGTTAGCAATGACTTCGCAAGTCCTAGGCGTTGGTCTTGGCTCACCTGCTCTGATTCCAGGAATCTCGAACCGCTCAATCTTTCCTCCTTTATACTCCTCATCAAGCAAGTTCTTGATCTTGTCAATAGTGAGTAGGCTCCTTAGCCAATCCCATTCATCATCGTTTCTAACGTAGAATCCAACGTTGGCATCTGAAGCTTTGTCACCAGAGCGGCCGCCAACGATCCAACCCAATGGCCCACGTGTCGTAGGCTCATATGTAGAAAGGTTTATTGGAGCTTGAGTTTCGTAGCTTGGTTGATCACGTAGATAGTTGGCCATGTTTTGACATGGGAGGACATTGATCGCTCGATTAGCATCCCATGTGAGAGTAACGCGATGTTGAACTTGGTCCTGGGGCAAGACGGTAACATAGTACTCATAGTAAATCTTGCCTTCAGATTGGCGTTGGTCATTCCCCAGGGTCCACCCGGGACATCCTTGCAGACCGTTATCCATACACCATCGGTTAAAGCCAGGAACATCCAGTGTTGACTTCGATACCAACTTTTTGTTCTTGGTTTGAACGAAGATTCTCAAGTCAACGGTGGCTAAATCTTGGTTTCGGGCATTATCTGGACAATAGCCGTTCATACTAAACTTGAAGCACGATAGTTCTTTCGCAGCTTCGCCAGCTGAGTAACGGATTTGCCTCTCGATCCATTCTGCCTTGGCCTCGAGGTCCAATCCACAGATATAAACGTGAAACTCAGCCTGATATCCACCAACTGCAGTCAAACCAACCTTGGTTGTGCTGGGAGGCGGAAGTCCTTTCACTCCAGTGACTTGGACTCGGTCAGGCCCGATCTGCTTCATCGATATTCCTTCCAGCTTTGCGGTGACATCAGAGCCGTAGTATAAAGGCCCCTGGATTTCATACAATAGCTGTGAAGCCACTGTACCGACGGATACCTAAGGGAAAAAACATCAGCACAATAGCACGTGTGAAGAGCAACCGAGGAGCGCACCTCTCCGCCTGTACCCTCCTCTTTAGTAATCACACAACTGCCATCATGATGGAGCTCAGCGATCGGGAAACCAAGATTCTCGCAGCCCTCCATAAGACGCTTGAAACCAGAGAAATAACCACCTGGCTGTTGTCAGTAATTCGAAGCACACATGCTGGGATGATATCCAGACCGGTCACATATGCGGCACACTCAACAAGATGACCACAGATGAGTGAGCCTGCAACCTGATCAAAGTCCTTTTCTCGGTCCCATCCATGCCACCACATCCCCGCTAGGTTTGGGGTCAGCCTGGAAGTTTCTTTAATAGGCGTGGTGAAGACCTACCTCCAACTGCTGGAGCTGCATCCGCAACACGGCCACACACGACAATGTCGGCACCGTTGGAAAGGGCTTCAGCTATTCCTGCACCACCTAAGTAGCATCTGATTAAATTAGCAACCAAAAATTCATGAATCAAGCATGGAGACCTCGTACTGTGCATAGACTGGAGTATATCCCCAGTTCTTTAGGTTTTCACCGGTCATCAAGCTAGGAAACGGCTCTCCCGCCTTGATCAGACGATTCACAGTATCAGTCACTTCATCTCCCTCGACATACGCGACTTTGAGCGCCAGTCCGCTTCTTTTCACCTCTTGCTCCACGAGCGAAGCAAGGAGTCTGGTGTCAGACGCGCCAGCATTGACAGCTACCTTGATACCCTTCCGTGCAATATCAGGCAGTGCCGGGGACAGGTTGTCCATGAATGTGGGATCAAAGAGGCCCACAGGCTCCTCCATCAACTTCCCCTCAGCTCTTAGCCGCTCGTTGTCGACTTTTTGAGCACCATGCAGAGTCATCGTACACTCGGAAAGCCAATCACCTACAATCACATCAATATCCAGAGCGGCGAGATCTCTAATGGCGCGCTGCCGGTCGCTGAACCCTCCTGAAGCTCCTGCAATCCGTATAGGACGCTTTGGGTGGTCGCCTGCGCCATCCTGGGTTGATGCCATGCTGAATGTTTTGATAGCTGCCAGAGTTCCGAGGATAAGTAGAAGAGATTAAAGAAAAGCAGATTCTTTGCTTTTACTTTCTTCTTTGATACAGTTCTACACCTTAAAAGAACATTGAGTTCTCATCCTCCACGGGTGCAATCTTGTAGCAGCCACTGTAGGTATCATGTTGTTGATTAGGCAGTATACCTATGGTAAATCATCTGGCTGTTTACAGCCAACCCTCGGAACAATTTCACGAGAGAGAAAGGATATTGAAAAGAGAGGCTGGATGTACCTTGTAGATCTCCCGCAACATTCGAGGGCTCACGGCGGATATTAATACCCGCCCGTTCGTCCTGGCCTTTCTAGGACGAGGTTAATCTGGCACCTTGATTTATCACAGATTCGGATGTCATCGGGCTCTTCACTTATTTTACATCTTTTCCAAGTAATGATCCGAATGGCCTCTACTTGACGAGATCTCTTGCACTATTCGACTAACTTGATCACAACAAAGGACAGGTTGAGCTTCTTACGGATTCCAGCCCCTAGAACGTCCATCTTCATCTTTAATTTGAAAGCGTGTTGACCATGGAGAATAGAGTCGTCGTGATCACAGGTGGTGCATCCGGTATAGGCCTAGAGACAGCTAAATTGCTCGCCTCAAAGGGTGCAAGAGTATCACTCGCCGATGTCCAAGAGGAAGCCTTGAACACAGTGATCAAAGAGATCCAGGGTTCCGGGGGCGAGGCTATGGGCAAAGTCGTGGATGTGCGCAACAGGAATCAAGTTGAAGATTGGATTGCTACTACGGTCGCCGAGTATGGGAAAATCGACGGTGCAGCAAACCTTGCCGGTGTTATTGGGAAAGGGATCAATGTGACCCCCCTCGAGGATATTGACGATGAGGATTGGGATTTTGTCGTTGATGTGAACCAAAAAGGGTTGCTCAATTGTCTCCGTGCTCAAGTTCCACATCTAAACGAGGGAGCGTCGATAGTGAACGCTGCAAGCGTGGCTGGTATTATTGGTTTCCCCAAGAACGCGGCCTATGTGGCATCCAAGCATGCTGTTGTTGGCTTAACGAAGTCAGCAGCGAAGGAACTGGGTCCTCGGAACATCCGATGCAATTGTTTCTGTCCGTAAGTGTTGCTATGTATCTCCCACATTTGGTATGACAGCTAATAGAATGGCAGTGGGCCAATCGAGACACCGATGTTTCGACAATCCGCAAGCATCCGGGGCACCGAGATGGATCTCAGTCACATCGCTCTGAGACGAAAAGGACACCCTAGAGAGGTGGCGACACTTATCGAGTTTTTGTTGTCAGACGGCTCGTCCTTTATGACCGGTACCGTGCAGCATATTGACGGTGGATGGGTCTGTTAGCTCAATTATCTCAATTCCAAGTACGAAATAGATGATAATCTAATAAGCGAAACCTTTTGGACGAGATCCTGAGAAAAGTCATTGGAATTATGTGCTGCCACCTGAGTTGTATTTATATACAGCTATCAAATAAAGTAATGGGATATCTGTAAATGTGACCAAAGGTCTGATTGCTTTCTTGGCTTAGACTGTGCTGTCCCTCAAAGATGAGCTTCAAGCAATTATGGTTGATTGCAGGGCCCCTTCTCTGCCTCTTCCATTTCGCTTTCGAACAGGAAGTCCACATTTACAGATTGGAGAGGTTTAAATAACGACTTGACTTTCCTAGAAATCCAGCTACAAAATTTCCGGGCAATGTATGCTTCGCGTACATATTACATACCAGGTAAGAGTTTCAATCTACGCTTACGCTAAGAATTCAGCGTACCCTTCGCGGGAAAATGTGATCATCAAAGCCAGTGGTTATCTCACGGAAGTCTATAACCGGAGAGTGCTAGAGTGTCCGGAGTCCAAGGATATTACCACCCGCCAATACTATCACTATGAATAAACCTAGAAGGGGATTGTAAAAGCTCCGGGTACGTTCCGCTATAAATACCTAGATGGATTTCCAAGTTGTGTGGTTTGAGAACGAAGCTAGGAGAATATGTCACAAGCAGAGACGACGAGGCTGTCAAGATGATGAATACAGAGTCCCTTATCCGAGTCACGGTATGTGTGAATCGGAAGCTTGGTACTACCGAGGATGAATTCAGTGATTATTGGGTGAATAAGCATGGGCCGCTTGCTACAGAGTGGCTGCTGCGATGTGGCATTGTCCGCTACGTGCAGGTGGGTTCAAATATTACTTTACGTTTTGATCTTGGATTAATCAAGATATCTTCTACCAGTATCACACTACTTCTAAGCATCGCAATTTGGCCAAAAAGATGTCGGACGCTGTGGGACGTCCAATGCTTCAATATGATGGAATGGGTGACTTTTGGGTTCGGAAATACGAGGACTTTGAAGCGGCATTCCTTGACGAGAATATCAAGAAAAGATCCGGCCAGATGAGCTGAAGCTTATCGACATGGACTCGATAGCTGTGACTGTTGGGGTCGAATATGTGGTTATCGACGATGGCAAGCTTGTTACAACACATGAACGTACTGAGTTCTAGAATCAGTATGACGTCTAACCTATCCTTAGTATTGGAAAACAGCATTATTTGACAATTCATCAAGCGCCATCTGCACGTACCCCTGCTTCTCATTGTTAAGAATCAATTTATATGATGTATTTTGCAGACTGTATTACCGTGTTAACCAATTTTGCCATCCAAACGCACGCGCATTGACCAAGTTGCTTGTTACGTCCTGCTATCACGACGGAACTCTTTTGGCAGGTGGTTTAGTAGATCATCACATGTCTCCGTAGTGTTTCGGTCCACAGCTAGCAGACCATGAAAACTTTGGCCGCCTGTGCAGCTGCTCGGATCGTGTCGAATCGCGGTGCTTCACTCTGCACAGTTTCGGATCTGGTGATGCAGCATGCATGACATTCCGGGGTAGCTGGCGGTTTCAAACTTTTACCCGATCCTGATTTGCCAGATACCGAGTCGAGAGCGCTTGGAAGAAAATGGTGTCGGAATTGATCGAATCAGCTCGCTTTGAATTTCATTCGTTCGCCGTGCACAGATATTAATTGCAGTCGCGGCGGGGGAACTAGAATAATATCAAAATATATAACGAGAGTCCTTTCTCAGGTTCTAGCTAAGCATATGTAAACATAAGTCCCAGCCTCAAAAATCAACGAATCTAAGTTTACATCCCCAAGACCTTCTAAAACCTACTTCCAATCTTCAAATACCAACCATACAATATGAAATTCGTCACTCTCCCCATCATCACCCTTGCTCTCGCCGTTGGGGTTTCCGCTCAGACGGCGGATCAGATTTCATGCTGCAAGAACTATGCCTCTAGAGGCTACACTCTGGAGGTTATGAACTATATGTGCATGGGCGACGAGTATAGCTGCGCTCCGTATATCTAAATGATGAAGGCTATATCTCGTCCGATACGCTTGGTCTTGGGAGCAGGCCATAACAACACAAATTGATGGGGGTGGCGAAGATGGTGGATTATTTAGGGTCGAGTTGGTCTTCCATAAACCATTGTGGGAAGGGTATCCGTTGTACAGAGAAAGGAAATGTCTGAAGGGTGTTCGACGAAGTCAAGTGGAAAAGTTTAAGAATACGGAGATGATGGATTTGTTGATGAAGGCAGGTGGTCTTCCGCACAGCATTTGACTAGTATCAAATATTTACCTGATCCCCAATCTCAGAGTGCTATACTTCTGGTTCGAATTGAAGAAAAAAATCCAGCATTTATTCTCATTACTTGATGAGCTATTCTCGTTAGTTTCAAAATATTCAAATCTCCAATCTAGCGCTCATTTCAAGGAGTCAAGCTAACTGGGAATCTCAGTAGCACGTAAAGGCTCTGTCTAAATCGACATGAGAATCCAGACATGGAGAGGATAAAGAGGAATTCTGGACCAAGAGGTGGGAAGAGGGTCGTCCTCCAGGCTGGTCGTAGATGCCATCCAGCAGCGGCGCACGAATTTGCCCGGTCGGAAGTGGCACATACATTCCCTTCACCTTCCACGATAGTTTAGTTAAAGAGGCATAACTGTGTATTCTCTGACATGTTTCTTAATGTTATCTCAGAAAGGTTAACAGTTCGCCCTACCCTGTGCTCATGGGAGCATACCAAGAGGCGATGTATATCGTAGCTCTGAACGGATGTCTTGCAGCACGTTGATCCCTACCTACCAGATGTCGTCCATTGAGGACAGCTAGTATTGGCATTAGGCATAAGCCGGGCGAGAACCATCAGTCAAGGAGCATAGTATAGAAGTACTTGATAGGAAATTGTATTGAATTATGTTTCGTATTTATTTCGCAAGACTAGGGTAAACGGGCTCATGTTCTGAATCCGGGCTGCGAAGCTTTTCGATTCGACCTTTGTAGAAATCAACAACTGCCTTTTCATCGAAAATGTTAGTAACACTTGGATGGGCCGCAACAGCCACTGCCCAAGCGTAGAAGCTTGGCGCCTTCTCCTTCAATTGTACTTCCAAGCTGCTCGGGATCACCCCGTTCTTGAAAAGAGCTAACAAACGAATGATGAATGAACCAGTGAGAGCCTAGCGGTTCGGTTAGTCTAAGCAAAACAAAAGAACCGTCTTGTGAAAGGGCGAATACACTCACCTCTGCTAGTGTAAGCTTGTCGCTTCCGCCGAAGAAAGGTTTCGCGTCCTGGAGGAGCGGCTCCAGTTCCTTCACTGCCGCCTCGATATAAGCTTCGATATGAGTCACGCCCTCTGCGTCTGTCTTGGCCCCAACAAACTTCACAAGGTTCCCTTGAACTTTGCTTAAGGAGGCGTCTACAAAAAAGCTGATTCGTGCTCTCTGGAGAGCGCCTCCCGGGGCGTTTGATGGAAGGACGAGGTGCGACGGGTGAGCATCTGCCAAAAATTGCGCGACGATGGCAGACTCGGCGATGATCTCGCCATTGTAAATCAATGTTGGCACGAGGCCACGGGGATTGATTTCAAGGTAGGATTGGTCCCGGGGCCGGTCAAGGTCAATCAGAACCTCCTCAAACGGGAGGCCGAGTTCAGAAAGAACGATATGTGCCCGGTGTGCCCCTGATGAAAATGTCAGCGGCGATTTGGGAGCCAGGTTTGGCATGATTCTACAGACTCAGTCCACTTACATGGGCACTAGAAGTATAGGGGTTAGTAACTTGAGTAGCTAGCAGATGATGAGCATTCCTACTTACAATATGGCTGGTATAGAGAGTGATCTTGTTGTCCGTGCTTGAAGCCATTGTGGAGGATGAGAGTAATTGACTTTTCGCTGTGGTTTGGGCTGCTCTGGGCATCCGCGAAGTGGTGAAGGGTAGATTGATGATGCTGAAGATGAGATTCACGGCTGATTTGGACGAGTAGTCGAACTATATATACCTATCTTAGCTTTGCTGAAAGTACTATCAATCTCGATTACAAATAGGCTTGCTTGCGGGATTCATTCCTAAGCCCCGGGAACCAATAATTGGGTGGTCAGACATCCCACAAGAAGCTTTGTAACTGTTTTTGACTAAGCCCGACTGTGGACCGGAAACTCCGGTGACCGAGATACGATTACGAGACAACAAAACTATCAGCTCAATGATGAGCAAATCATGAAGCCTAATCTTTTATTATCTGCCGAGTATCATGATTACGATTGCAAACCACTTAATACAAGGTCCTCAACGCGGTTGGTATGTATAAAACTTGGATTTTATTAGCTACTTAGCAGAGCAAGTTTGATCAAGATTAAGATTATGTAACCGGGTGGGATGGGAATTATCAATGTGGGCTGGCGTCGGCTTTCGTCTTCTTCTTCGTCTGCCCCTGCTATCTGCCATTGCTCTACCCAAAGCATCAGCTTGAGGATGGATTAAATGCTTGTAATGATCTCGGCGAAGACGAAATGGAATCTCTTGGTTGGGAGAAGATGTGCGATATCCCGCTCAGGATTGATGCCACTGTTAAACCGTCCATCCAAAGAATTCTCATCAACACCCCTGTCTGAAGCTTGCCCCACAAGCTGCAACTTGCTCTTTGAAGCAAGCTAAGAATAAGTCAATATGAGCCGGAATCTTTGTTAATACGCTGGAAAAAACGTACGCCCTTCTCTCACATTGCTCTAGTAAATGCTAGATATTGAACGTTAAAGGTGTGACTGACTGTGTTGGTTTAATGTGGTATTAGAGGCTGAGCAGTGAACGATATTTTGGAGCTTAGCTAATACATGTTTTACATACTGCAGGCCCCTGATGACTTGCAAGAAAGTGGCAGTGTAGCAATGCAATGGGAGGAGCGGCCATTTTGTCACCAGTCACAAACTCGACATGGAGCTTGCTGGCCTCATGGTCGGCGTCGCCGGCCTCGCGGGCATCTTCAGCTCCTGTGTGGGAGCCATTGAGAGAGTACAGTCCTATCAGGCATACACCGCTGAGTCGGGGGCTCTTGAAACACGCTTCAAGGTCGCCAGAGTCCGTTTCGAAGCGTGGGGTTCAGCTGTCGGGATACAACACGACAGATTCCTAGCCGACCATCATCCTGCATTGGATGACCCAAGCAAAATAGAGGTGATAGCCGAAATGCTGCAAATCATCCTGAAGGCGATATGTGATGAGAATCACAAGTTCCCGAAACAAACCCGTCTGTCTAAGCCCAGCGACAATGCGACCCTGAGATCTAACGGGACTCATGCCTCGACATCATCCGAATCCAAGAAACGCAGGGTACAATGGGCACTCTGGGGTAAGGATGGTCGAATTGAAAAGGTTGAATTGTTTGAGAAGCTGGTGGACGGGTTGTACCACCTCGTGTCACCTCCAGGGAGAGGGGAAACGATAACATCACCGCCTCAATATGGAGACGCAATCGTACCAGGTACGGACCTTCACGGCCATCCACCATTTCACATCTAATTCAGGGAAGAGCTCGACATGCACCAAAATGGGCTTGATGATATACGGCGCATCATTGTTCGCTGGGATAATCAAATCAAAGGTGAGCTTTGGTTCATCCAAGGGAGCATAGAGCCGAACTAACACCCACAAAGCCAAGTTCCTTCGTGAAATCTATATCTGGCTAGGTCACCATTCTCCAACCGAGTTCTACCAAGAGGCCCTCCAAAAGAAGGTGGATGGTACCTGCGACTGGTTTCTTCACCAGCCTGCCTTCATAAGCTGGCTGAATGCCTCTGCCTCTCGGAACTTGCTATGGGTTCATGCCCCTGCAGGATTTGGGAAAACTGTCCTCTGTGCTCGAATTGTGGACTATCTCTCATCCACCGAAGTATTACCCGTCGCGTACTTTTTCTTCTCGTCTGAGAGTGAAGGTTCTAGGGATCCTTTCGTTGCCATCAGGTCCTGGGTCTCTCAGCTCGTATCATGTGACTCAGACGCAGCTGCATTTGAAGACGTTCTTGGGACATGGGAAGCTGACCATGACCCAGTTGCATCGCGTTCTACTGTCCTTGAGATTTTCACACAGCTCCTTTCGATGATTCCCGGTTGCATTCTTATTGCCGACGGCCTTGATGAATGCCTGGGATCTAATCAAGGAAATACGACAGTATCGAGCTTTATACGTCATGCCATTCATTCCGTAGCTACGACAAATACTAGGGTTCTATTTGTCAGTCGCGATGAACCTAGTATACGAACTGCTCTTGCCAGCTCGCCAGAGATACTTACCGAATACAAGATCTCATCCACCGACGTTCAGTCTGACACGGCTGCTTACTCTCATGAAATTGTCAAAAATATGCTTCCCAACAAGACCGACGATGTTCGGTCAACTCTTTCTGAAGCAATGGCTGCTCGGTGTGATGGCCAGTTTCTCTGGCTCAAATTACAGGAAAACTCTCTCAGAAAGGGACTGAACAAAAAGCAACTTCAGAAAGTCATACAAAATACACCCCCTGGGCTCGAGTATATTTATGATAAAAACTGGCACCGAATCACAAGTCTACAGCCAGACGACCAAAATCGGGCCATCTGCATTCTTCGGTGGTTGGTCTTCGCTCTACGTCCACTTACAGTGAAGGAGATTACGGAAGCTGTCCTCATCATGGGGTCGGATGAGTTATCATCAGAAGATTTGCCTGATGAGATAGACGATGACTATATTGAAACTGAAATAATTGGTCTTTGTGGGACCCTCTTGGAAATCCGGAACTCGTCTGCCAGCTCTCTTCCGGGAGGCCGAACACTACACATACCACACTTTTCCGTGCGAGAGTACCTTCTTTCGAGGCTGCCCGCCCCTTCGTTTATCGAGGAAAATGGGGTCCTTAACGCAAGTTACGAGAGAGTCCAACATACGCTTCTAGCGAAGACTTGTATTCAATATATAAGCCTCACCCAAGTCTGGGACGATTCTCAACAGCTACCAGATGACCCGCTACCGAGCGTGGCGTTTCGAGATTATGCTGCTACCCGATGGTACGAGCATGCAAGGTTGGGCCTGGCAGATCACCCCGTGATAGTCATGCTGTGTCTCGAGTTTTTCCAAGAAGAAAATGCCGCTTGGGTTGAGTGGAGAAACTTGTTCGAGTTGAACAACAAAAGCAAAAAGAGACACCGGCTTGAGCGTGTCCTTCCAAGCCCCCTTTTTTATGCGGCGAAGTTGAATTTGGCTAAAGTGGCGGCTCTTTTAGCGACAAGCACTGATGTTAAGGGAGCAAGCAGTCACGGACGAACGCCTTTGGGTGCGGCCTGCTCTAAAGGGAACTTGAACATTGCCGAGTTACTTACCAAGCAAGGGGCCAAGGTTGATGCCGCGCCAGGCTCGAACGGGGTGACGCCGCTGCACAAGGCATCAAAACATGGGTTCATCGAGCTTGTGAAACTTCTCTTAAGAGAGGGAGCTGATATTCAGGCAGTTGATGTATTTGGGTGGACTCCGATGGCAGTAGCAACTATGCGTGGACATACTGACGTAGTCACGCTCCTTATAGATAACGGCGCGGCCGTTGAGGTTTGTACATCTGATGGCTCTAGTCCACTGATATTGGCCTGCGCCAGAGGCCATTCTCATGTTACGAAACTCTTCTTGGAGAGGGGCGCTTCTATTTCCTCGGAGGGTCGATTGAGGAATACCCCTATGCATTTAGCTGCCTGCAATGGCCACCTCGAGGTTGTGAGACTCCTTCTGGAACATGAGGCTGGCGTTGTAGCTCCTATTGATCACGAGGGAACTTTTGAAGGGTGTGAAGAAAGTGGAATTTCTAACAGAAAGAATATCGTTGGTGATTCGCCTTTGGCCTTAGCCGCCAGTAACGGCCATCTTGAAGTTGTGCGAGTTCTCCTAGAGCATGAGGCTACAGTTGCGACGACTGATAGACATCAGAGAACACCTTTGCATTTTGCCGCAGTTCTTGGCAATGTTGAGATGGCAAGGCTCCTCCTCGATAAGGGAGCAGACGCCGTAGCCCAAGATGCCTCTGGATACACCCCATTATTATGTTCAGCAAAGAGGAACCACAGCGAATTAGTCAAACTTCTTTTGAGTAGAGGAGCATCTGTTGGGTCTGCAGATCAAGCTGGGGTGACTTCACTGATGCATGCATCTGGACTTGGTCATGTTGAAACTATCAGAGTTCTTCTGGAACGAGGAGCTGATGTCTCGGCTAAGAGTGAGGGGGGGACTCCGTTATCATTTGCATCCGAAGATGGCCACGTCGAAGCTACGAGGATTCTCCTGGATAGAGGAGCTGACATCGAAGCTGCGGATAATTTCGGGTGGACTTCTCTGATGGTCAGTTCTCAAAACGGCCATACCGAAGCTGTCAAGATCCTCTTGGAACGAGGAGCTAATACTGAAGCTTTGGATGCCATTGGGTGGACTCCATTGATGCTTGCTTCCCAAAATGGTCATATCGAAATTATCAAGATTCTCTTGGAAAAAGGAGCCGATGTCGCGGCCTCGGATACTGATGGATGGACTTCACTTATGATTGCTTCCCGGCATGGTCATGCAGAAGCTCTTAAGCTGCTGTTAGAAAAGAGCGCCGATCCTGCCCTTGCCGATACCCAGGGGCAAACTGCCCTACATATGGCATCCGAGAACGACTTTTGCGAGATTATAAGCCTGCTTCTCAACACGTCTGCTCCCATTTCCAATAAGCAGGATCAATGTGGCCGCACACCTTTGTTTATGGCCTCTGTACTTGGACATCATCAAGCGGTGAAGACCTTGTTGTCAGATAGCCGAGTCGATCGAAACATGAAGGACTGGCGCGGGTCGACCCCATTGTTTACTGCAGTGGCCAATGGCCACTACGAAACGACACAACTTCTGATCTCCGAGTCTACAGATCTAGAGGCTCAAAGTGGTGCCAGACGGGATTTGCTATGGTGGGCGCAGCGCAGCGGAAACCTACAAGTCGTTCAGATGATTAAGGAGCATGCGCAAAGTATGGGTAGGCCATTTGCCGATGAAGCGGGGGATTGCGCTGTGGAAGTTGTTGCGTTCGATCCGGAGAATGGTTTCTGCGATGCCTGTACTCTCAGCTTCTCAAGTCAGACCTACTACGAATGTCGCCCAGATCACAATTTCGGGCTTTGTCAGGAGTGCTTTGGCGAAGGTATTAGGTGCCCTAACTCGACACACGAAATGATACTCGACGTTAGACCTTCGGATTCTCATGATGAGTCTGACGACGAGCCATAGGCAGTGGGGAATTCGAAGCTGGTCAAAGCATTAGTCGCATAATAGAAAAGCTAAGCCAGCTATCGGGCGTTTTCATCGACCCAAATGAAGCCGATTTGGTACTAATTCATTTGCGTACTACAACAACTTGAACATGTGGCAGTGTTGGCTGACCTGCGGTTTTATTAACCACTTTTAACTGTTTTCATTTCGTAAGTTCCTGACAGACTCCAACGAGTCACTTCATTGCCTAGTCAACGGCTCTGATATATACAAACAAGAGATTGGATTATTTCTAAATAACATTTCACAGGCAGTCTGTAACAGCATGTATCAAAAACCAGATCACTGCAATAACCAAACAGGGGTGCTTGGAGTCTGTAATACGTTTCACTCTGAAGGGCGCAAAATTGACATTTGGGTGGGGGCCACCAGCACCGGCAAGCCAAACCGACGAAATGACAGTGTCGGCCCGGTCTCAACTACTTGCTATGATTGGGTTTAGACCCGCCCAGTATCCAATGCGGGAGTTGATTCCAGGGCTAGGAGGCAGGTTTATTCCCGCTCTCTCGGCCATCTTTAGTAAGTATGAAATCCGTGACTAGTTATTCATCGGTCTTGTAGGAGGTTCGTTCTACTGGCTTCCATGTCACGCCAAGTCGCTAAATAATCAGCGGTATTAGATAGGCAGGTAAATCCGACCATAGTGTGGCCATACAGTAGATACGACATCGGCATTTAGTGCCGTTCCTAAACGTGTAGCAACACTACATATGTAAGCGACAACCCCTCATCTTTGAGAGAGAGGCTGCAGCAGTCAGCGCGCTTACTCTTATATATTTGAACTCTGAGTTTCTTTTCTACTGTTCCTCGCATTCTTTCAATCAGTCACTGCCTTCCAGTATGCGTTTATCGCGAACCATTAACATCGTCGGGTGTCATGCCGAAGGAGAGATCGGCGATGTGGTCGTTGGCGGCGTCCTCGATGTCCCAGGCAAAACCATGTTCGATAAGATGATGCATTTCTGGACCAAGGGCGACCACTTGCGCCAGCTGCTGTTGAATGAGCCCCACGGAAAGCCTTCAAGAAATGTCAACATCGTGCTCCCCCCCTGTGACCCCCGGGCAGACGCAGGATTCCTCATCATGGAAAGTGAGGAATACGCTCCAATGTCGGGCTCCAACACGATTTGCACAACAACGGTCCTTCTGGAGACAGGCATGATCAAGATGCAGGAACCTACTACTGTTATAAATCTTGATACAGCTGCAGGGCTGGTCACGGTGACGGCCGACTGCGAGGGTGGCAAGTGCAAGGCTGTCGCTTTCGATAACGTCCCGTCGTTTGTGTTTGCACTTGATTTCGAGGTCGACGTTCCAGGATTAGGAAAGATCCTTGTCGACATCGCGTGGGGTGGTATGCTATATGCTCTTGTTGACGTCCGACAGGCAGGGCTAAAGATAGATTCTGCCAACGGTAAACAACTTGTCGAGTACGGGGAAAAGATCAAGCGGGCTGTTCAAGCTGTGACCGATCCTGTGCACCCCGAGAACCCCGGGATCCATGGAGTCACGAACTTTGTATTTACTGAGCCTATTGAAGATGACGGGCCCTCTGGAAAAAAGGCAGTGAACACTGTTGTTGTCTCTCCCGGGCGTCTTGATCGAAGTCCATGTGGAACAGGTTCTTGTGCTAGAATGGCCGTTTTACATGCGCGTGGTCAACTCGCCGAGGGAGAGAACTTTCGCCACATCGGGATCACGGGGACGGAATTTCAGTGCAAAATTAGAGGGACAACCAAGGTTGGAGAGTATCCCGCCGTCTTACCTACCGTGAAGGGCAGGGCTTGGATTACTGGGATAAACCAAGTGATGCTAGATTCTACTGATCCTTTCCCTGAAGGTTTCAGAGTGGGTGACCTGTGGGTGTCATCCACTTGATTATAGAAATTTTCTATATCGTCTTATGGAAATCGAATTAGATAAAACACCATGCAAATAGTTTTCTGAAAAGACAGGCTTTGTCTCAGGCAATGAGAAACCTGTTCAAAGCCAGAAATTCACAACTGAGAACAGAAGATGCATTTGGGTACAACTGTACAATGAGGTTCTATTTGTTCAAAACTTATTTCCCTGCAGAGCTCCCCCCAGTTCATCCACCAAATCGTAAATGTCAGTTTCTGGCCCCAGCAAGAGCGGATTGGCACATACAACATGGGCCTCACCCAAGTCTACATGTCCTCGCAACATTTTCCACGTCCATTTCACAAGGCCTGGAAGATTAGGTCTTTGTTTAGGGCCGCCTTGCATTTCCCTCTCGAAGGCGTCAGACTCTGGGATACGCTCGTATGTGATATACACGGGGAGAATGACGAAATCGCTGCCAGTAGATTGGAGACTGCGTAAAACGCCCCTCTTCCCTGGCAAAACCTCCCCAGTACGGCTTCGCTGCCCTTCGACAAAAAAGAGAAGATTGTCGCCACCCCCCACAAGCTCGGCCAGTTGCTGGTCGAGACTGTCGTCCGGTTTGCCAGCCCCTCGTACGACGAACACGGTCCTCAGGCGACGACACACCCATCCCACAATGGGTATTTTGGCAAATTCTTCGCTTGCAAGTACTCGCGGGAGCCGAATTCCGATCTCCGGGCGTGTGAAGAATAGGTAAGAGCACAGCAACGAATCGAGAAAGCTCCTGTGGGTTGGCGCAACGATAACCCGCGTTTCAGGATTGATACCTTCCATGGCCGCAGAGAATGAATGCTGGTCAAAGGTAACCGATCTAAATATTCTCTTGAATGTCCCTCGAAGAACAGTGGAAGATATAGCGACCGGTATTGTTCCATGCTCCTGTTTTCTGGACCAACTTAATGTTCCGATACTGCCAGTGCGATCTGCTCGATTTCCTGCGAAGACGGCTTTTGTGGCGTCTTTCTGCAGAAGATAAATACGTACACCTTGACATACAATATTCAGGTATTCGTAGGGGTCATAGTCTGGACCGAGCATGGTGGTTGCGGAGTGGAAATTGTATGTGTGCTGCGTGAATGGCTCAAAGATTGTATTCGCTTTCAGCTCAGCAGCTTTGGCTCGCTCAATACGCTGTGTCTGGCGGTTATCACGCTTAGCGATGGCCAAAGTCTTCGCCAGAGCTTGAGGAAGTTGGTGTTGAACAAAATGGTTTAGTCTGTATCGCAGATCTGTCTTTTTCCCGATGCAGGACATCTTCGGCTTTCGGAACACTTGGTGGAGCGTGAAGTACTTGATAATCGCGGAACAAGTCAGGGATATTTGCATTCCAGCTTCGATGGTAGATACGGCATGAACAATCTGTGGCCGCCTTCCAAGCGTTTGGAGGCTGAGAGCAGCTTTGATAAGTTGACGTGCTACTACATCCACGGGAACTACATCCAAGATGGTGCGAGGGTCACCATTGGCGACTCTGATGTTGCCTGATCCTATTCCAGCCACAAGGCCGGCCAGGGCGGATGAACTATCAACCCACCCAGGGAAGGGATATTTCCAACTTGCGGAAATGATGCTGGGTCGGACAATAGTGAATGGCACAGCATCGCTTTCCAGAAGGAGATGCTCCGTGAGACACTTGGCCAAAGTGTAGAGATTGGGATGCCCTGTAGATCGCAAGATCTCGTCGATGCTGTTTGAGTCTTTCTGGATTGCTGCATATAGATATCTTGCGGATTGAAACAGCGGCGGTAGCGTTTCTAGAATAAGGTTCTTGGTGTGCGGAGTGACATACGCTGTGGACGTATGAACAAAGTGTCGCAAGTTGGGACAGCCTCGGGCCAGTTCCATGACATTGAGAGTGGCTGTAATATTGTCACCAATGATACTTTCAAAGGCTGATGGCGAAAATGCCACGGAGCCAGCACAATGGATGATATGAGTTATTTGAGAACAGAGCTGATGGTATATATCTTGTTCGATCCCACATCTCTCATGGCGGAGATTAGCTGAGACAACATTGATTTTGGGCATCCATGTTTTGGGTAATTTTGAAAAGCAGAGAGAACTTGCTACTTCATCCAAGAATCTCCCTTCTGCTGTCTGGTCATCTTTTGGGCGGATGAGCACGATAATCTTGTCAAATTTCTGGCCATTCTCATAACGCAGAATTTCCTGAATAACAACTTTTCCAAGGAAACCAGTAGCGCCCGTGATCAATAGGACGTGCCCCATTGTGTCTTATTGGCTTCTATAATTGAAATAAGAAAAGAAATGAGGAAAAATAAAGTTCAGCGTTCACAGCATATGGCCATGTGAATAAATTGAAGCTGGTTCCAGCTAGGGAATTGAGTGCGAATTGGTTGCAAGGCTCCTGGTATGAGAGACGGCAATATAACTTCCGTTTACATGCCCTTTTTACAGATTCGGGTCAGACAAGTCATTTATTGCATTGAAGGTCGGATCGTTTACGTTTACATGGATGTGCTGGCTGATAGATAAGCCTTGATTCGTCACGCTAATGCCAAGTATCTTCAGCTGAACTGCACCAAAGCCATGATCCATTATTATTAATGACTACAAATCCAGTCAGACGCTCATTGATTGGCACAAACAGCAAACTAGCTCCAGAGGATGAATGTACAGTACATGCTTCAGCTCCACTCCAGGGGCATAAGCCGTTAGAGATATTCATTTCAAGCTCCTAATGCGAGCAGAGACTAGCTAAGCGAACAGTAGCACCGCATCTATACATGTTCCAGGCCTGAAAGACCACCAGGGAACAGGCCGTCAGTGTCTTGGGCTACCTTGATCCGATACAGTTGGCCAAGTGCGGTTGGTGATAGCAACCTTGGCAGATACCTCCGGCGTAGCATGCCAACACCATGATGGTGCGAGAGCGATCCTCCATTGAGCAGGATTTCGTCTCGGGCAGCTCCCTCTAAAGAGGAAAACTTCTCGGTACCACCCTTGATGTCATCACCCACAAATATTGCTAGATAGAAGTAAATGCAGACCCCCGTGTGGTAGACCTGGCTGATCCGAGAGCTGACAAAAGGCTTTCCAGGAAGTCCGGCGGCAGAATGCTCTTCGAAAATTCGCTTTTTGACACGCCGACATATCTCTGGTGCGTCACTCCAAGCACACGAGGTTTCAAAAGACTCGGCAAGAATTCCCAGTGTCATCGCAAAGTCGCGGATGTAAGCAATAGCGAATGTCATGTCGTATCCACGCTCCCCGTTTGCAGAGCCTGCCTTCATCCCCCCATGCTTCCGTAGCAGTCGAGATACAGTGGCCTGCTGCGTACCTACCTGCCTACCGCTCCCTTCGAATAGTAATGTGCATGCGACCATTTGCTGTGGATCGAATTTTCGGATGCGGGTGACGTACGCCTTTTCAATGCGGCTTTTCAAAACTCGTATTCCTGTTGTTGGGGGCTTGAGGGCCATGCTGAATTGGAACTGGGTGTTGTCAACGAGACGGACACTGGCTGGCAGCATATCGCCCGTTCTTGATAGATCGTTCATGAATTGATACCCTGCTTCAAATGAAGGAAACAAGATAGATCCGTATTTTCTGACCTCCGGAAGAGGGAATACCTTGACTACTGCCGACGTGATGATACCCATCGCGCCTTCAGAGCCAAATACAAGATGCCTGATATCCATGCGGGTAGATTGTCGAGGCCAGACATCGGTTCCGACATGTTTAAACAAGCCATCAGGGGTTGCGACCTCGATGTCTAACACGATATCCTCGATGTTTCCATAGCGGTTCTTCTTCATTCCGCTAGCTTTGGTAGCTATCCATCCACCAAGAGTAGAGAACTCGACGCTGTCTGGTTCATGGCCCAATGTCATTCCACATGAGGCCAAATCGGCAGCAATATGTCTACCCACAGCTCCAGCCTCTATACAGGCAAGATTGTTCTCCTTGTCAACCCACAGAAGGCGGTTCATTCGTTTGGTGCTGACTGCTGCGATGGTACGTTGCTCTGTTTCTGAGCACGCCAGAGACTGGCTAACATTTGTTCCTCCTCCAAACGGGAGTATGCAAACACCTTTGTCTCTAGCGCATTGAACAATAGCCAATGCCTGCTCCGTGTTCTCCGGGTACAGCACAAGGTCGGGGATACGGTAGATGGAACCGCCGTAGTTCACTTGGCACATATCCTCGAGTGAGTGGCCATGACAATGCCGTAGTCGCACTAATGCATCTTCGGAAATTTGACTTGGGTCCAAACGCTTCCCAATGGCGAGAAGAAATTCTCCATTGCGAATCGGCGAGGGCAAATCTGTCTCTGTAGGGCGTCGAGGCTGGAGCTGCTCTCGGGGAACCTTCATCTCCATGATATTCTCCATCCATGGCAGCAGCGCAGGGAACTTCGATCCACTTGTTGAATAGCGAGTGCCGGATATTTCCAAGTGTCCATCTTTGCTGATCTGATACTGAGTGTCCGAGAAGCCCCAGGTGTGGGCATTTTCTTCACCGTCATGGCGGACTGGCCTTCCTTTGGGGACGACTCTGGTTGTAGCCGTATCTTGTTTCGGCAACTTCTCGCCGGATTCACCCGCGACTGATCCGGCCATGGTTTCCTTTTGTCTCTCGATTAATATGTTATGGTTGTCGAGCAGTCCACTCCGAGCAGCATCCTACTTTATACTACGGCTAGCTCCTATCCGTTCTTCACCAACCCCGTGTTCAGCCCTGAACTTGTCAACAAGAACGATCCTATGTAGAGTACATCCCAAAAAGTTCCAGGGGACCCCGGTCATCCAGAAAAACGTACTTGCATGGAGATGCAGTGGGGACATCCAATAGCGGCTCCGCCGTTTGCCACTCATCGGTTCGCTTAGAGCTCTTGCGTATCACGATAAACAGGTGCCCAAGGGCCATGCAGGGTAGCTGATCGGAGGCGGTGTGGAATTTTCAAGACGCCATTTGCGAGATTTGGAACTCGACCTCTCACACCAAAACTACCGCATCTCGTCACACACCGGGACAGCTCACCACCATGGCGATGCTACCCCAAGGCATCTACGCCCGCAAGTTATTCGACATAACCTGGGCAGATGTGTTCCGTGGTGTCTACTACTCCCTGGCGTCAGGGTTCTCCAGCGCCCATGACCAGGAGGAGGCGATCGAAAATCTCGAAGAGCTATGGGCCCCGACGCAGACTCTCGTGACCCTGAGCGTGCGATCAGCTTTTGATTTATTTCTGCAAGCATGCGAATTCCCACCGGGCAGCGAGATTCTCATCTCAGCCGTGACCATCCCCCACATGGTTTCCATCATCCGTCTTCACGGCTTAGTCCCGGTACCGATCGACCTTCAACCAGATGCGACCGTATCAGTCGAGGACGTGCTGCCATTAATACGCCCTCAAACTACAGCCATTCTCGTTGCCCATCTCTTTGGGCAGCGCCAATCCCTAGCTGCTCTGGGTGAGCTTGCACAGCATCATAATCTGATGCTCATAGAGGACTGCGCCCAAGCGTTCTGCGGGCTGGATTTCAAGGGCAGTCCCGAGGCTTCCGTCTCAATGTTCAGTTTCGGACCAATCAAGACGTGCACTTCCCTCGCAGGTGGTATTGTGACTGTGCGAGTCCCCCAGCTCCTCGATGCCATGAGAGGAATACAATCTGGCTATCCCAACTATCGAGATACCGACTATCTCAAGAGGATACTCAAATATGCCGCAATGAAGGCGGTCGTCTCAAGCCCTTTATTCTACGGTGGGTTGATATCCATCTTACAACGAAGAGGCATAAACCACCATCAGTTCATCACCAGAGCAAGCCACAGCCTAGCCAGCGGTGATTTCCTACAACAAATCCGCCTCAGTCCATCGCCAGGCCTTGTCCGCCTACTGAATCACCGGCTTTCACACTTCGATGCCACAGCGCTTGAGCGACGTGCCTCGCGGATTGCAGACATCGCTGATATGCTACCGGCCACCATGCAGCCCATTGGCTACAACGCTTCTTTGAGGGGCAAGCCTACGAATTGCCACTACTGGCTCTGCCCCATACGTGTGCAGAACCCGGACGTTGTTTTAGGTGATCTGTTATGTGCTGGATTTGATGCTGCAGCTGGCAATGCAACCCTCATTGTTGTTCCGGGACAAGAGCATCCCAGTGCGAAGGGTGATGATGACGAAGGCAGTGTCTCAGAGGCCTCCAAAGCGAAGAGTATGATGGAAAATGTGATTTACTTGCCCATCGACAACAATTTTGATCAAATCGCCACTAAGAGACTGATCAATACCCTCGCCAATGTAGAAAGCGGGATTAAGAAAGCTTGAAAATGTCAATTAAACCCTTCAAAGCAGGGACTTTGACACGCGAATGGGGTCTATAATGTACGAGTAGAGCAAGCTGCTCTGATTATCTTCTCATTGTCGATAACTAGCTCAAGATCCTGTAGGCCTCATCTTAAAAGGACACCTTATGAGTCTCTCTGGTCGTAGTCTAGGCTAACTCTTCATCAACGTCTTGATACTGTGACTGGACCGTTCTTGCCCGTTGAGCAGAAACAGCCCTTCTCTCCCTGGTTACTGCCAGTGTTTTGGCCAACACCACTAAAAATGCTTGTAGAGTAGCGAAGACTGGTATACCCATGGTCGTGATCCTGTCCAAGGGTATCAATGTGGCTGAAATAAGCCTCCCGGCTCCCCATGCCGCGATCGACAAACAGAGCAAGCCGAAGGCCTGGGTCAAAGTCTCCATTTCATCAAGGATAATTACCCAAATGACTAGAAAGGACACGGAAATTAGAATAACAGGTTCATGTTGACACGAGGGCGGTAGATTTGGGTATTCTTACGTGGAAGGACCAGCAAATGCAGTCGAACGGACACTACAAGTGGTCAGTCATAATAAACCAGCTAGTCTCATGAGTGGAACTTACGGAAAATTCCAGCAACAGAGCATAAAACCATTACCAAATCTAGAAGAAACATTAATAGCTGGTTTTTCCCAGAAAAGCCGGGAGCGTTTCCAACTTACGGATCAGCCCTGGTAGATAGTATGGCGAAAGCCAGCTGGCTAAAATCGCAACCACAACAACCGCAGATCCTGGTAGAAGTTCCAAGATGGCGTATAGGGGATGACGGGGAGGATTAAAAAACATGGTCCCACTTATGAACGCCATCATTGTGATAACTGTGGAATAAAGGACCATCAGAGGCCATGGAGATCCCTATGTTTATCGATTAGCGAACCTAAACAGATGATATCTTCGAAGGTGACTGACTGATGTTTTCAGCCACTTTGGCCTCTCTCCCTTATAATACCTAGAAATAGACGAAGAAGAGACAATAGCCATTCTTTCAGGTACATCTAGCCAGGGCGAATCTTGGGGCAAGCTCAGATGCGAGGAAGAAACCGTCGCCAGGGTAATGATCATGAGGGATATGCCGACATCCAGAAGGTGGTTAAGATAGGCCCGATCGTAAAGATTGACGAATAAGCTCACAACGCGAAAAATCTCGCTAGTCAGAACAGCCCAAGCCAGGATTCGCCATATCGCCTTCTTTTTGGAGAACCATGCGCAGTGGTAGAATACCAAGCCGGTTATCATGATGCCTATGGCAGCCCCACGCAATAATTGCAGCGTCATCCACAGTGGCATCATCAGCCACGGTGGGAACTTACAATGTTTGTAGGTTATTATCTGAAAGTAATATAAGATCTCTATAATAACGGATCGGGAACATTAGCTTCCACCCAGTAATATCAAGTCAGCCAGGACTTACCGCTACTGTACAGAGCCGGTGCTGTGATTTGCAACAAAAGGCCTTTGCGAAAACAGACGAATGCGGCTATTTGAGCAAGTAAAATCCCGGAAAAATACGCGATACACGAATATGAATCACTTGAGAAGGACTTGTCAGGACCGAATATTTGAGTAGCAGTCTGCCAGGAGTTGTTAGCCACCAAATAATACACTGGACAGTGCCGACCTACCACCATAATGAGAAGATTCACACTCCAGGGTCTGGATGTTAGTTTCGCGCTTTCTTGTATTCTGGTAATGACGCCGGTTCCATGGCCACTGGTATCATCATCGGTCTCTGATACAGTCGTTGGTGTCAAGGATGGGCCGAGGGGCGTAAGGCACAAATGCATTGACCTTGTGCGATGCATCAGGCTGCTCATCAATGGGTCAACGCGTAGGACTTTCTCGCGATGATAGGAGCCCGTCTTGCAGTCGAAAGAGCACAAAAGGGCCCGATCGGTTCCTCCAGCTTGCCCACAAACGACTATGGCTACTGGAGGTGCGGTGCACCGCACCACAGTCATCGTAAGCGTTGTTGTATCGACGATGGTGAATATCTGACCAGCGGGTTCTTTGCGAAGTGTGCCCATATTTCCACTCTGCTCTTCATCCGCGACTATTTCCTTCAGCCTCCCATGGTTGAATCCCCAGATATATCGTTCGATAGTTGCAGTATCGACACGGCCTTGAATTCCAATGACCCGGCTTTTTTCTTTATTTGAACAATAAGGCATCCCAAAAAACATGAAAGTGAAAGGGAAAACGATAGAGCACAAAATAACTATCGCGGCTGTCACATAGATCAAGATAGCAAACAAGAACATTGAGTTCGTACCGTATGGGATGATGTATGTTATCCACAGCCAGCACGGAAGGCAAAGCCATGCAATGTTGAAGGCCACGATGAGTGGAATTCTGAACCCCTCGCCTGAATACTTCAGGGACGTAGAACGCTCGATTTTGTCCCAAGCGATGGGCGTGGCGTAGACGTCCTGGATCACGAGGGCATCCGAACTTGTGACATCCACTATATGGCATGCTGGTCGAAAGTCTCTCAACCTCGAGCCCCAGTAGTCCGATGTGTCTGACCAGGGGGAGACAGCGTGCAGCGGACCAAGGCACATCATCCGCTCAAGGATGTTCCCGTCGTCAATTGCCAGGGCGAGCCGGGCAAAAGCCCTGAAGCCAGAATCGTTCTGGTCAATCTGTGGTCTTTGGCTGTCTGGAAACAATCCCATGATGGCGTAGGCGACATCTCCGGCACTGAACTGGTCCGTTTTGCGACGCGCGAAGCACTCCAAAGCAATTTCAATCAGCTGTCGCGGTGTGAGAATTGCAGACGCTTCATAGTGGTTAACCAGCTCCTTAACAGACTCCGCATCTTCCCATGCCCTTTCGGCAAAGTTTCGTTTCGCCAGCTCTTTAGGCTCCTTGGACTCTCCAAAGACGTAGAGTTTGATGCGATACTCATTGGGGCAGAGGAGCAGCTCCGGCAACGTCCAGAGACGAGAGCCCCATTGTCGTAGCCATTGTGATGAATGCTCCGTGTTGAAGGTGTCAGATCTGCTGTCGTCGCGACGCAACAGAGTTTTCACTTTGTCTTCGGCCGATGGTCCTATCGCGATTATTATAGAATGGGCAGCTCGGACAATATCACAGATCCGATAAACGTCCTCGCTTTTGCTGCTTGACCGGGCCACGCCATCAGAGTCGCGCACACACTCAAAGTCAAGCCAGAACGCTGGCTTGCCAGCAGCCAAAGCCGCATCCACACCCCAGCGTGCAAGAGTCTCGCGGTCATTCTTAGCCAATTTGCGGTTGGCATCTCGCGTTTCCTCATCTGGATACTCATATGTATCGATCTCCTCGTCAGTGGCCACTCTGAATTGCATCCGCGTGTAGGAAACAAAGATGAACTCGGTATCTGCTTGATCACCATGCTCGTGGACATAATCTGACACAGAAATGGTCCGATATGGCTTTTCCTCGGAGCCGGTCAAGAAGCAGAGATATCTTGGTCGTAAGGAGAGACCCCCTGGTTGAGACCGAGCCTGGAATGTGGTGTGACTTCTAACAATAGGGGAATCGGGATTCTCAGATTGGACCTGTTGCCCGCCCAGTTGAATATTGGCTGAGAAGGTGGCCGCCGTAGACAAATTTTCCTCTATAGAAGATGAATGCGAAAGGGCCGTTGACAATCTATCGTAAAACAGCTCATACTTCAAATTTTCCGATTCAAGAGCGTTTTGTTGGGTTTGATTCCAAGAAATCAAAGCTGGTACGCCATTTGTCCAACTAGGTAGCTGCGCAGAGGCGGTTAGGAAGCATACGAGCAATCAAGTGGCATGGGATGACCTACCATAAAGCCTGTGAAGGGGGCTATGGCAACTAACCTCAAAAATACGACTGAAGCCGACCCGGGTGTTATCCGTCGATCTTCGCTTCCGTCCACCAGAACGGGCGATAGGATCCAATACCAGGCAGCCTGCAGCGTAGGGACACGGGATGGAGGCATTCCCAGGCTTGCCCATGGTTGATTCTCAGGGAATTCAGGTCCGTATCGGAGGCTCTGGACAGCTAGAGGAACGAGGCTGCCATTTTCAGGATGCGGGTAGTGAAGATAATCACAGTCTTCGTCTGGCGTGTTGGGCGCAGGCTGCTGTTGCCGTTGTGCAGACGGCGGCATGGTGTGTTAAGACGATAAGCAACAGGCGATCAACTCAACCTTTGTGTTTGCTCTATCGACCGGGTGAAAGGGTGTGGTAGATATATCAATGTGGCTTGAGAGGAGTTCGACGGCCTACCATTTCTTACATCACGGGTGAGGCTGTGTATGAAACGTCAAACATCCGCCCCATGTAACGCCGATCCCTACACTTTGCTATTTAAAGTCACAATTGGGGGGCTTAGTAACCAGGCAACAATATCTCGCCACACGAATCTACCGAGCTTGTCGATCCCTATCACGATATCCATAGTGTCAAGATAAGTACCTAGGCATATAACACATTGGGACTAAATATGTTCACGAATGAAAGAGCAGCTCTGGATCTTTTTTCCCAAAATCGTTCAATATTCTTAGGAGTTATAATTTATCATCTGCTTTTTGTAATTACAGTGACCACTAAGTCTAAATGAGGGTAATATAAGAAGAGGATATTAATGGACATCAGGTTGATATCAACAAGGCTGCATACTGAGAACGACGAAGATTTTATTGCGGCAAATACCAGTTAGATCCTCAAGGTCGATTTAATTGGCGTCCGAGAGCACGGCACGGTATTTGCTGCAATAGAATTTTCGTCGTTCTTAGTATGCAGACTTGTTGATTTCAACCTCATGCCTATTGATCTAGTAGGGATGTTCATGTCGGATACTGACATTGTTGCTGTTGCTGTAGCTGCTGTGTGGAAAAGTGGTTGTGGTTGGTGGTGATGAGCGTCCCCTCTCAGGGCCATGGCTGACTTATATATTGGCCGGCCCTTGTTAGAGTTTTGGAGAGATATTGATGCCTGTGCCCAGGCTTCATGTGTAATCATCTAGGTTTTTAAATTATTGAAGGTTCAGGTATGGGCCGCAAATTGTATTTAAAAACTTGTGTGATGTAAAGTCACGTGTGTAGCCCGATCTTGGGATAGCCCTTGTTTACAGCAAAAGACACAAACAATAAGAAGATTTAAAAAAAAGTTTATTAACTGGTATTAATCAAAAATCCAATTGGAAAGAAACTCACGAAGATGAGCTCGAATCTTCTTGAAGCCTATCGGATTTGAACCGATGACCTTGTGGACTGGAATCACACGCGCTACCGCTGCGCCAAGGCTCCTAGGTTGTTGAGATTGAGTTCTCTAATTTTTGTTATATAGAAGCATTGTTTTGCTTACCCTCTGCAGAAAAATAATACATCTGCCAAGGATTCAATTGATAGATATCTATCTACCTGGACGCCCTTCCATAGTCTATATTACACCTTATCTAACCTTAATTAGAGAGGCTAGGTATTTATGAATAAACGATACCCTCCAGCATCTACCTAGCTGATGATGGCAACATCCTTGTTAGTAGAGCTACCCTATACAACAGTGTTATTTTTAGCACCCCCTAGTTCATCCTTAATTATTTCAACCAGTTCGGTCGACAAACGTAGGTAAATAAGAAAGCAAAGTTTCCGGCGAAGGCTGGATAATCCAAAATTATAAACGGAAGGATATATGTGCAGGCGGTTGGGCTGGTGGTGGGTTTTTCTAAAACGCTGCGCAAACCTCTAAATTTTACCTTTGTTATTTCTGCCAAGCTATCACAATCTGCCACAGCTAGTTGGGTCAAACAGTTAGGTTAAACAATTTTGACCTTTTAGGGTGATTAAAAACAAAGCGCTCAAATGAAGTCGCTGTCGGGTTTAAATGCATTCATCCATGAACTCATATGAGAAGGGATCCAAGACTGTTTGCCTTGATATTTGCATGAGTTTCGATGTCTAAAAGTCTCTCTTCTGCTCTTAACCTAACCTGTTTCCTTCCATGCGGGGGCCAATTCCGTAAACTGAAACAGCGCGGCTAATCCCAAGGAGAACCGGAGCTTTGGCGCAGCGGTAGCGCGTGTGATTCCAGTCCACAAGGTCATCGGTTCAAATCCGATAAGCTTCATCTTGAAAGTACAGTTTTTGTCTTTTTGTTCCCCTCCTACTTTCACTGGAGAGATTTACCCTGGTAGAAGCTTGCAAAATGCCACGTTCAATTGGAGCTTTGGCGCAGCGGTAGCGCGGTATGTAACGTCTCTCCGAATAGTCTTCGGTCTCTCAACTAACAAAGAATTAGTGTGATTCCAGTCCACAAGGTCATCGGTTCAAATCCGATAAGCTTCATGAAACAATTAGTTTCAAGCCATTTCATTCCTTTTTTGCCTCTTCATCAGGAGAGATTTGAACAGAGTGGTTTTAGAAGAGGGTTCCAACAAGGGTAGAGTTCTCCTGACAGCTACACATCATCCCTTGCCTTGCCTCGACCTCAGAAAGGAATGGCTCAAGCTGCCGAAGGCTCTGGGATAAATAAAACCGACCTCGGGCTGGCTACTCTAGAAACATAGGAAAGGACCAACCTACACAGAGCTTGTAAACAAATGGTTCGACCCGAACATTTTGGTCCCCCCACGCTTTCACCTTGTTCCCCATCTTCCCGGATGAAGCCGACGATGTGATCTTGAATCTTGCCTAATATGCCTCGTACGACTTTATCCACCGGCTGAACGGTACGTGGCTAATTCATACTTTGAATATGTCTGGTAGCATTTAGATCATACAATTCTGGATCCTTGCAGCCGGTCGGATGAATTGGCTGGCGTCATCAGTGTCCAATCAGGCAAAACCATCCACGCCTAGTCAGCTTGATGTAGGTAGTATCTAGTCAATGTTTTTCTTTCAGGAGCATGTGTGGTCAATGAAGTCCCGGGGTATCTTGGCTTCAGCAATTGCCCATTAGGTTTGCACGATTTTACGAGTCCTCATTCGAGGTTAAGGAACAGCGGCACAATGATGCGTGTTCGAGATCTAACTGGTTCAAATGTGAGCTTCAAGTATGAGTATCCTTTCTCTTAAAGAGGGAAAGTATGTAATTCTATTTGGTTCTATCTATGTTCTATTTATGGGCTTGGTAAAGAGACCTACATGCCCAATCCAATAAGTCAAGGTCGTTACTATTAATGCGTTATCCAAGTTTCTGTAATAGAATACGACATCTAAGGTGAGCCTTAGACTTAATACGTTCTACTAGGACATGAGAAACACTAGTGCGCAAGACGCCTTTTCTGATTTTTCAACCTTTTAACTTATCTAGCCTGACTTAAAAGATTACGACGATCTAGTGATATATATTCATTAAATCTTTTTCTTTAATCTCAGAATAAAGATCTATAATTAAATCTTCAAAAGTCTAGTTAGTTATAATAAATGACAGGTCTGACTATCATTTATCCTACTAGTATAACACTCGACAGACGAAATGAGTGACCCTCAGTGCTTTAGTCCCAGTCAGGTTACAGAAGCAAAGCACTGGCCGAAAATCTATAGCCATAGAATAATTATAATTACTAATAGGCATACAAATCTTAAGTATCAGCAATGATCTGTTACCTGCAGGACTGAGTTCAATAACTACGTCTTCTGTCGTACGCTGTATGTTTCCATTGATGGTGAGATAAAATGAAATATGAAATTTTCAATATTCATGGACACGTTGGCTGTCTTCAGTTCCCGTAATGCCATTCTTTCACCCGTCACCCCAGGTGAGTGCTCTCTGGCGGACCAAGCGAGGTCTGCCGGTACCCTCCTACATCAACAACCAACCGTTGCACAACAACACCAGGCTCAAGGATCCAGAGGTCCAGCGTGTGTGAGCCATTTGAGAGCTCTATCGTGCTCGCGGACGTCCAGCCGCCAGCAATTACGGCATCGGTCCAACCAGAGGGTTCCGAGCCCATCGGCGTGGTCGGTACAGGCTGGACAATGACCGGGGCGCCCCCATCTATGGAAAAGGCATATCGCAACACTCTGCTGGGGTCGTGATTAAGTGTCGCGCCCAGGAAGACCAACAGTCGAGCCTTCTCAAGCTCGGTGAAAGTATGGAACGTGTACGTGAGCTTCGGCGCCGTGTCTGGAGACTGGGAGTCGGCAGTGACAGGCCACAGCTTGACTCCTGACAAGGTTCGTCCGTAATGAGGGATTACCACATAATACAAATCATTCTTCTCCTCATGTTTGTTGTAGTGCTCAGCTTCGATGGCAACAACCCCACCAGACTCGACATAACCACTGAAGCCAGATGGAACAGAGCGCTTGTTGACAGGTAGGTTGAAGGTGATGGGCCAACTGCCGGGTGCATTTGAGGGTGCGACTTTCAGGCCAACTTCTGTTGAGCCGGCTGGAGCTGCGTTCCAGTCTACTTTGATGATGCTTCGGATATCAGAAATGTTTTCTGTTGTGCTCAGCGTCCCAGCCGAGTTCGAAATTGTGACGTACGGTTCGCTGCTGGCAATGCTGTAGGAAAATGACCCGTTGTTGCGAGTGAATATGTCAAGATAACGCTGTTCTGAACTGGGCATGTATGGATCCATGGGTAGCAGAGTTGGCACTGGATCACCCGGGAAAGAAAAGTTACTTCCCTGAACAGACACGCCCATGATGCCGGACTTGGGTACATTGTCCTCCCCATGGTACAGAAGTGTAGGAATTGTATTCTCCGCGGGTTCCTGCCAGTTGTCGTAGCCAATATGGGTTTGTGTCATCATGCGATCCCATTTTCCGTTCTTGAGCGAGTGATACCTGCTCGTTATTGCCTGATCTTCAAGGAATAGGTTCTGCACATCAGTAGCCAGTTGGTTAGTGCTTGTACGGCGCTGACGATGGCGCCAGAGGTTCAGCTCAGCTTTGATGTATAGCTCAACCACGGTCTTGCCTGCTAGGACCGGGTGCAACACCATTTCAAAGAACGGCGTGCGTGTTGATTGTGGTAGACTATTGTAGGTGCTTTGTGCAAGATTGAGCAGGTCTGTCCACTCAGCCAAAACGGCCTCGGCCTCGTCGTAGTATGCCACGCTATAGGCAAACGGCTTCCGACTGAGGAGCTCGTACTTCCGGCGTAAGATTAGCTTGCCATAAGTGCTCAAGATTTGTACGGTTCGTTCGGCGATTCTTTCTTCGAATTCGGCCGCGGCCCATTGATGGATCCATTTGGTTGTGCTGTCGGGGTCAGCATGGTTGGACATGTCGTAAGCCATATCCAGGAAATGGGAGGTTGGGATTTCCTACATTGCAATGCATTAGTCTCGAATCAGGAGTAGCATGTCATATTGGTGTTTACCAAAGGCTTGATGTCTCCAATATTTGCAATCCAAATCTCACGAGCACCCTTCTCATATGCCAGCTGCATTTGCTCCCAAGTCTTTACCAACTGGATAGTATTGATCCATTTGTAGTTTCGTGGCGAACCGACGTAGTCAAAATGGTAGTAAACACCAGCACCACCTTGCCGATCCGTTTCATTGGCCAATGGTGTTCGAAGCAGATTGCCCACATTATCATCCGTCCAGAGCAGAGTGACCGATTCAGGGACTTTCATGCCTGATTGATAATATCGCCCTACTTCCTATTGAGGAACGTTCTGTTAGAAAAGAGGAGTGTTTACAGGGGAAGCTGCTCGATAGACTTACCTTGTAAAGCACCCACGTTTGAGGGATGTCTGTCAGATTCTTGTTCAAGATGTCTTCTAAAAGAGATTGCTGTACACTAATGATTTCGACTAGCGAGTCGGCAGTCAAGGTGGGTGAAGCAGCATCGCCAGAACCTCTCATGCCAAGAGTATACATGGTCTCCCAATTCTTAGCACGCTCCACGCCACCTTCAAAGAACTCAGTGATCTCCTCTTTGTTGTCGATCCAGTCCCAATTTCCCTCAACCTCCTGCTGCTGCTCCCTTTCCGATCGGGCCATCGGCTCATGGTGGCTTGTACCGACGACAACACCGTACTCGTCGGCCAATCTGCCATTCGCTTCATCATCGACGTAGAAGGCGCTCCCCCACATAGCTGGCCATATGTAGTTCGCCCGAAGCCGGAGGCAGAGCTCAAACACCAACTTGTAGAATTCGCTATTGAATGGTCTACCGCTCGGTGTCAGCCCAAAGTTTTTCTCCGCCCATCCCGTTAACGCAGGTGCTTCATCGTTGATAAAGAAGCCCCGATACTTTATGGAGGGGGGGCCTTGGACTTTCCGCGCATTGCGAACCCAGATACCAGTCTTAGTCTTGGGCGGCACATCTGCCCACCAGTGCCACGGCGAAACTCCAATCCTTTGGGAAATATCGTATAGACCGTACACAGTCCCTCTTTTATCGCTCCCGGCAACGACAAGGGCCCAAGGAATACTAGATGTCACGTGCTCAACGAGAGCTGTGGTATAGGACTCCCATTTGCCATCGATCTCGGAAACGTCGATTTTGCCGGCGTCAACCAACTTGTCAATGAGAGTAGAATGACCGACAGCCCCAGCAATAATGATGGGTGCAGTTCCATTTGGAGAACCCGGGAGCTGGTCGAATTCCTTGAGTGTCCCATTAACACCAACAACTCGGCCAAAGTCCAGAGTAAGATCTCGTGCAGTCCGTATAACGGCTGGAAAGTCGCCAGCAGAGACCCAAATCTCCGGGGCCGTAACTGTATCAGCCAGCTTGTACTCACTAATGCCATCTTGAAAGGCAAGTAGGTCTTGTTGAGCTAACGTCAAGCCAAAAAGAAAGCCAACCGCTGCTAATAGGCGTGGAATGAACACCATTTTGAGTATAGAAAAGCTAGCTTAGGGGGAAGAAGACTTAGACTGGTGATAAAGACGCCTATAGTAAGATGAGAAGAAGAATCTGCTATCTTTATAACTAGATCTCACTAGGAATGATTATGGCTTAAAAGCGAGGAAGACAATTTAAGGACGACTCCCCGCAAATTAAACCTGGCTTCCACCCCGGGGAGTGTCATTTGCGTCGCACTTCTCCGTTCGAGAGTAGAAGGTCATTATTTGAAATACTCAACATAATTTTAGCCGGCTGTGGTTATTTTACTCCAAGTCGGCACCTTGGCAATCGCCCCTTTTCAGACACGGTTGGTAGGGTGCTGACTTATGAACTTAGCCTGTATTCATCTCTGTGCCAAAACCCAACACTGGAGCCCATATTTAGCCTGAGAAGAGAATCCTGCATCAAATTCTCCCTACGTTTGACCTGACGATCAATTTCTTCTCTCGGGCAGGCTCTCGCGGGGAAGGCAAAGTGGGGTGTCCTGCAAGAAGACTGGATGCATTTGGGGAACATGGAGGCGTTCCCCGAAATGATTGAGGGCTAGATTCAGAGGTTGGATGGCGGCCAGCTTGTACATCGGAGAGCAGTGTAATATTTAACCCAAGTTGCCGTGGGTGATGCACCAGGAGCTCGAATATCGGTTAAATGGATGTGGCCGGTGATAAACTGGCAGTCAATGTTGGTCAAAATTGTGTGCCTAGCAACCGTCATACGACTATGCCCTAGGTATTAGCGGCCCGTTTAGAATTGAGAGCTTACGGAGCAGGCTGGGCCGAATGAGACAGTGACTGATGAGGGGCTAAGACTCATCGTTGCCCGAGGCGGGTATTTCACATGTTCAGAGAAGAAGAGACGACATATTTTCACCAAGGAGCTTTAAGTGCAATTTTTTTTATCCCAAATTAATTTCATTCGAATATTCTTAGTAGCTACAATCTATCAATTGCTTCTTGCTTTGCCTCCTCGCCTTTATGGGTTTTGGTATCCAAACAACCTGTATCCGAACCAACGTCCCAAGACCGCCAGAAACCACAAAAATCAGTGGGCAACTGCATCAGAAAGAAGAACGCCTTGATTTATCCTTTCTAGCTAGAACCAAAAGAAATATGAAGGAAAAGACAATGTTTTAACGGAAAGATAAATTGACAAAGGGAATTGGAGTCTCCAGTGATAAGGAAATAAAGACAGAGAAAAGTAAAGGAAATACCATGTAGTCCAAACAGAAAGAAAGACAAACAAAAACACGTAAGGAAAACCAAGTAAATGCAAGATGAAAAGATCCCAAAAATGCACATCTCGCAGAACACCGTGCTTCGCTTCCGGTACAACGTGATGACCTTGTTTCTCGACTTGCGTCTCCTGGTCCGCCGAAATATCTAAAACACGACCAATCTCAAACAAAAATGAAAATCCAGTAAATATCCCACATGACGTGTATTAATCAATCATGAAGTCGTTATTAGTTGTTGTTAATGCCGGTGCTTGCTTGCCAAAAAATGAAGATGAAAAAATGCAACTGTTACAGTGGTGGGAACACTCTTCAGCTGTCCGCACCAGAGCCCTCAGACTGGGATGATGAGCGGACGTGGTGAAGGTTCTTTCGTCGTACAATAGAGCTATCAAACAGTTAGTTGATCATTATCCAAGGATTGATGGAAACAAGAGATTGGGGGAAGCTTACATTCCGCGTGAGCCTTCTCGAGGGCAGCGCACAATCACAATCTCGTTGTCGCGCTTAGATTTACGGTCACTCTTGGTTCGACCCCTGGTCCCGGAACTGTCCTTGGAACCAAGCTGGGCAGTCAGGTCGGTCACCTTCTTCTTCAAGGCCGTGACCTGGTTGCTGGCAGCCTGGTGCGCCTGCTTCTCCGTCTCCAGCTGACCCTTGACCTGCTCCAGCGTGGCGGTGAGCGTGCCGTTCTCGACTCGCAGATTAGGCACCGCCTCGGCCTCCTTCTCCGCCTCGGCCAGCTTCGTGCACAGGTTGTCTCGCTCGCTCGTCAGGGCGTCGACCGCGGCCGCCTTCTCTTGGAGTTCGTTGTTGCGCGTCTCGAGCTCCGTGTTGCGCTCCTTGAGGGTCACGACGAGGACCACGTTGGGGTCGACTACTTGCTCTGCTTTTTCTTCTTCGGGGGCGGGCTCTTGCTCTTGGGCTTCTTCTTCTCCTTGTCCGCCTTCTTCTGGGGCGGCGGCTTCTGGGGCTGCGGTTGCGGTTGCTGGCTCCGGGTCAGCATTTGGTCCGTCCTCAGTCTTTGGCTCTTCTGCTGGCGGAGGCGCCTCGGCAGGCTGCTCGGGGGCTGGGTCTGCGTTTACCTCGGCGGCGGGAGCGTCAACGCTCTCCTTGGGTGTTTCTGCTTCAGCTGCGGCTGGCTCGGGGGCTGGCGCTGGCTCTTCTGCCGGTTCGGGAGCCGGTTCAGGTGCTGGTTCGGGTGCCGGTTCCTCAGCTGCTGGCTCAGGGGCGGGCTCCGGTACGTCTTCCGGCACGTCTTCAACCGTTACGGGCTCGGGCGCCTTCTCGGTCATTTGAGAGACAATGGTGGCGGCATCGTCGTCTCTGCTCACGGTAGAGGCGATGTCGCTCACGATGGAGGCAGTGTCGCTCGTGATGGAGGCGGCACTGCTCTGGGGGAGGCTGAAGATGCTGGATGCATCAGATGAGGCACGGAGGGACTCGTTCTCCTCGCGAAGGCCGTCGCACTCGGCTGAGAGGCGCAGGACACGGGATGAGGTATCGTCCTGCTCCTTGAGGAGGTCCTGGACCTGGTTGCGAAGGCTCTTCCCCTCAGTGCTCATGAGCTCGGCCTTGTTCTTGAGCTTGCGGTACTTGACCTCAACCTCCCCGGCCTTGATCTCAGCGGTGTCTTTCTCCTTCTGGATCTTCTCGATCTGAGACTGGAGCTTCTCAATCTGAGAACTGAGCTCTGTCTTCTCGCCATTGACACCAGTCAACTCGGCCTCCTTGGCCTCCAGCTGCTTCTTGTGATCATCAAGTGTGGCCTCTAGCTGCTTTTTGTGATCATCAAGGGATGCCTGAAGCTCCTTGACCTTGTCATCAAGCGCCTGCTTCTCAGCCTTGAGACCATCCACTTGTTTCAGAAGCTCCTCCTTCTCCTTCTCAAGCTTCTCAGCTCGGCCCTCCAGACCCTTGACTTCCTTCTCCATGGTCCTGATCTGGTTTTCCAGGCTCTTGACCTGCTTCTCAAGAGGATCAACCTTGGTCCGGATGTCGCTCTTGAGACCATCACGCTCAGCCGTGAGCTCGCCCAGCTCGGTGGCGTTCTGGAGCAAGTCGCCCTCAAGGCCCTTGACGCGGAGGTTCACGGCATCAAGAGACATCTCGAGGGTCGCGATCTGCGCAACATAGGAAGTCTCCTGCGCCTTCCTGATGGCCTTGACATCGCTGAGCTCGCGCTCGAGGTTGATCGTCTTGGCGTCAATCTCCTTGTGGAAGGTCACCTGCTGCTTGCTCTCCTTCTCGAGCACGTTGCACTTGTTGCTCATGAGGTCGCTGAGCTCCCTGTACTTGTGCAGGTTGGCCTCGGCCTCCTTGAGCCTGCCCTCAAAGGACCTCTCGGACCCGGCGAGGTCGTCCCGCTCCTTCTTGATGGTCCGGAGGGCGGCGTCGTAGTCCTTGCGGAGCTTCTCCTGGGTGGTGTCCCACTCCTTGTGCGCCTTCTTGAGCGCCTCGGCGTGCTCCTTCTTGGTCTTCTCCAGCCTCGAGTCCCGCTCCTTCTCGATCTTCTCAAAGGCCTTCTTCTGCTCCTCGGCCTTGGTCTGGACCTTGTCCAGCTGGCGGGCCCGGTTGTCCAGGTCGCTCGTCAGCTTGTCCTTGGACTGCTGGAGCCTGTTGCGCTCGGAGCGCAGGTCATCCTTGTCCTTCTGGAGATTGGTGTTGTCTTTCTGGAGGCCGGAGTTGTCCTTCTGGAGGTTGGCGTTGTCCTTCTCGAGGCTCGCCGTCTTCTGCCGCAGGTCCTGGAGGTCCCGGTCAGAGGAAGACTGCTTGTCCTTGAGGAGATTCAGCTCCTTGCGCAGGCTCTCCAGCTCCCAGACGTTGTCTGGTTCCTGGTAGGGCACCACGTGCTGCTGGTGGACAGCAGGCTGTTGCTGGATGGGAGCTGGCTGCTGGTGGTAGGTGATGGCCTCTGGAACCCGCTGGGTGATGAGGGGAGGAGCCGGTGGCGCGTGTGTAGGGGCAACCTGGTGAGTGACCAGAGTTGCTTGAGGGGCAGCAGGCGGGGATTGAACCTTGGCAGGCTCGATGTGAATGTGAATGTTGCGAGTGCCCTGGTTCGAGTTTTGCGTTTGAACCTGGGCCTCGCTGTGGCTGTTCTCGGACCGTCGGCCAGGTCGTTCCATGCTGATGCTCTGGCGACGGGAAGATGTGGAACTGCTGCCACTCTGCCTTGACTGCCTTGAGTCGACGACCGCGCTGGTGCGCTTCTTACTGGGAGGAGGAGCACCATCGTCGGATGATGAGAAGACGCTGGTGGCCTGGGTGCTGCTGGACACGTTGGACGAGCTCCAGGAGGACTCGTTGTCTGATTCAGAGGTGTAGGGCCCGCGTGGAGTGAAGGGCTCCGGGTCGGCGTGCCTCATGGGGGGATCATCCTGGCGAGGCCTGACCTGGAGAGTGGGAGGCTTGAAGCGGACCTTGTTCCCGGCTGGCTCTCCTCGGCGAGAAGATGAGCGAGGAGCATAGGTAGACACGGAGGAGGCCCCGGATGAGCTCAGGTCGGGCTCGGAGCTGCGTCCATGGGGGACCATCTGGTTGTTTGCATTCGAGTGTGTGGTGTATCCGTTGATGGCATTCATGAGCCCGCTGTTCTGTGGTTGGCGGGTGGGACTGGAGTGTGTGCTGGTGGTGGTTGTGGTTGTGGTTGTGGTCGTCCGACGTCGGTTGTCGCCGTTGAGGCCGGTGTTTGTGTTGTTTTGGGACTGAGCCCGGGGGGCGTTATACCCTCGGATGCTGAGAGACATGCCTGTTGCGTTTGTGCGGCTCTCTCTAGATGTCGTTTGTTCACAGGAGAGGGTGGTGTATTCTGTCCTGGTGTGTTTGGATGTGACTGCTGTGTTGCTGCTCTTCCAATGCTCGGGTTCGACTGGCTGATTCCTTGTTTGTTTGTTTATTCAGGTGACAGACGAAGCTTGGGTGGTCGGGGAGGTGTTGGTCTTGTATAGGGCGACGGCAAAAGGTTGTGGTTCGGGGTGTAAGTCGAGGTGGTATCGTCGCATATTGCTTTTGTCAGATGAGTCGAGAAGGGAAATACATACAGCACCAGCACAGGGGCAAGAGGGAAAATCTTTTAAGTAAAGTAATATCACGTTTCCTTCCCTTTCCCGGCCCTTGGCAGTGCGCTCCGTCGTCGTACATATAGCAAACTCCAGGATTAATTATTACCTCACGAGCCAAAAACAAAAACCAACCCAAAGCATGAGCCCTAGATGGCCGGGCCCTGCTTTGCCATGCTGGCAGCCCAATGGTACAGGCACAACCCTGCTTCCCCGATGCCCAAACGTGGTGCGCGATCCACCCGGCGGCAGCATTGGGCACACCATGTCACCACCAGAGCAAAAGCAGGGCAGGGCGACGCAGACCAAGACCAGCCGGAGGCCAACCGTCGGGGTGAAGCGGCGGCCGTCCCGTATCGTCTCGTCGTCAGTTGGGTTCCAGGCTTACCCTTCTGGTCTAGAGAGCCTCTACCCCCCTTCCTCTCTCCACGCCCTGCATAGGCCTGCCCGTGACTGTGGATATCTCCTGCAGCGGCCTACAGAGCCAACCCAGTCAGCCACCGGCTGCTCGTGCGTCGGGAGTGGTGTGGTGGCAAACTCTTGCTTGACGTGGTTGTTGATGACCACAAATCACGATACACCTGAGGCCGATGAGAATAGAATAGCTGCTAAGAGAAGCACCCGGAACACACGCAGCAATGCTCGGTCAGCCAGTGGCAGCACATTCCAGCAAACAAACAAGCAAGAAAGCCCTACATCCAGCTGCTCCTATGACGCTGCTGGTCGTACCTACAGGCCTGCATGCGTGTCTTGCTCTTTGAATGACTCTCACGAGCTGTTCGCCCTGACTTGGCGAGGACGAATGGGCTTAGGCTCGTCTACCGCCAACCACGTCACCAGCTAAGATGGATTGCTGGACCGTCAGTCCACAGTCAGAGTCAGACAAACAGCGGCGTTAATACAGACGTAGCAGGTACCTCCATGTACGTACGTACAATACGTGGTTCATTGGGACGTCCACTCGACTTGTAAACCCGCTCCTAGGGGGCCCTGGCCGCATCAGTAGCTGACCTAGTTCCCTTCTCCAGCCGCCGGACCGTCGCTTGGGTTAGTTTTTGGTGGTTGGGGCCCTGCCCCTATCCCCATCCATCCGTCACATCACATCCCGTCCCCACGAGCCATTTTTACACAAAAAAAAATTACCCCCCAACAGGTCGAAATCGACCGTCGATCCGTTCCATCGCTCCCTCCACCCCACCTGAGTGCAAATCCGTCGGGCTCCAATGGCGGTGGGGCAGAACCATAGCAGAAGCCTCTGATTTGCACGCAGGATCACGGCCAAATGTCTCAGACGGGCTGTGGTTAATCCCGCCTCTCGCCTCTCTCTGCCCGACGGTCTCCTAACGCTCGGTTTTGGACGGCCTGAAGCGGGTGCTATCAATAATAATAGCCATACGTAGATATAGCTCGCGCGTCATGAAGCCAAGCCAGGGTTTCCCCAGCCTTGTTTACTAGCAGAGTCTATCTAGTCTGATTGATAGCTCTCGGTCCTGGGCCCTGCTCTCCCCCTCGTCGTCGTGTCCGTCCAGGTGATTGATTTCTTAGGCCCCTCCATCGCGTTGTCATTGGGCGTGGTGGATTTCATACCCACGAATCGCTCAACACCCATGGATTTGCTTTGTTATTATAGCAATGCACCCGTACATAACACAACCGCATTATGGCGCCTATCATAAGTGCTCTCACACCGGATCCCGCCGAAATGGCCATCTGTTACCGGCGCGACGAGCTGGAGGGGAGAATGGACCAAGCTACACCAACGAGGACTTGCAGTTGATGATGCCACGTCACAACACGGTCAAGGAAAAAACAGAAGAAGAAGAGTCATCGCCAGGGACAGAGTGAGGCTTCGCTCGCCAGCAGGCCAATACGGCGACGAATTAACAGCCCCAGGCAGACTCCCACCACGTCACGCACCACATCGCTTCGCATCTCCATCCGCGACTGGATCACGCTGATCTCACCCTCGGACAGGACATGATACATTATCACATCAGCCACACAATTGTTCCCAATTGTTTTTCCCTGGGCGCAGATCTTATTTGCTGCTCTATACCTGGATACATGGCTGACTGGGCAATTGAACGAGACATGCATGCACCAGGGCCTCATTGGGGGAGTATTCATAGCTCAACAGGCTTTCTGCATGGCCACTCTCCCAATTTGTCACCGAGTGCGCAATGGACGGGACTATTCTTTCCCTTGTGCATTTCCAAGACGCGCCATGGCGTCCGCACAGCAAACGGTAAGCTGGCATCCGCGGCGACGTGCAGCTATCTGACATGAGCATCGTTTGATAGGCAATAAGGGCATGACTCTGTGCCCAGTGCCTACCCAACCTAGGCAGTGCATGTGTAGGATGGGGATAGTTGCCTTAGCTCACAACCGATTCATGTTGGGCAGTTCGGTAGACGAGTGATTTAGGGGCTCCAGGGTCCAATGTCCATTCTGGCCATGGTGCTTTGAGGAGTAAATCGAACTCGTGCAGGCACTACGTAGACTAGTCGGTGGAGCGAGTGTTGCCCAGCTCCATTCTTGGTTGGAATTGATGCCTGTTGATGCTGTGAATGATCATGATCATCACTCCGCTACGCAGGCACAATGTGAACAATCGACCGAGTGACCGCAATCTTGGCTGCTGCAAAAGGCCGATTTAGTTCGTGTCTCATCCATCATCTGCTCACTCTTGTTCACATGAGCAAGCACGCATCATTGATTCATTCTGCATACCCAGCTTCAACTACCGGATCCTAGTCAGGCCCCCCTGTCACTGATGCCTCGGTCGCGGGGTAAGTATATTCAAACTGAGCATGAATCTAAGAATGCACCTGTCCCCTTTGATCAATTGATCAATCAATTGGCCACGGACGGGGACCGAACGTAGGCATGGACACGTCGACTGCACAATCTTGATGACGGGGAGAGCGGGAGCACAATGGCACCTGCAAACTGTTGCATTGTCCGCCCTTCCCTCTTGTCTCTGCGCTTCCCCCCCGCCTCCAGCATGTCCCGTTTGGGAGAGAAAACATAGCGGCAAACGGGGGCTATTCCAGGACCGAGCAGGTGCATATGCATACGCAACACCACGTAGAAGCTAGGCGCGGTGATTCTAGTTCCCAGCATCCAGTCCAGCCTCCGTTGGTCAGATGAGAGGGAATGATATGTCATCTCACAAGTGCTCTCCTCTGCGTAATCTCCAGCGTAATCTCTACCCCACCAACTGGTGGTGATGGAGGGCATTGTGAGTGATCGAGGCAGGACTGGACCTGGCTACTCTCGGCTCGGGACGGGCGGTGGAAAGTGCAGAAGGAATTTCCACGTTGGAGATGAAGATTGGCGAGATTTGAACCAATGACCCCATGACTGACATCGGAGGCATGGCCATTGGCTCGGTTAGGCCATGAATGGATATGGTGTCTCAATAATACCTATTCCGCTTCATATCATTTATCATTTATCCCTTTTTGGCTTACTTACGCAAAACGTCATTCATAACAATCAAGCTGGTTCCTTGTTCATGATGACGGCCTTAGGGTAGGCTAGCAAAACGTAACCGGGGTAATGCATGCCAGTGACGGTGAGACTAGAATGTTGACGGACCGGGGAGCACCCAGCACAAGAGCGCCATCTTCACGTCATTCTCGTGCCACCGGTTGTCTGTGAAAGTCTACTCCATCCATGTTCCATGGAGCTTCGGTATTTTTCTCGTCCCATGTGAATGAACGATGTGAATGAACGCCTCTCGAGCCATGGTTCGTGATATCGTGCACAAAGAAAGGGGGTCCCTCCCCAACCTCCTCCACTTGCTCGTAGCCCAATCAACCTCGTCTAAATGATTTGACCATGCATTTGAGGAACTAGCGCGACGCGTGCAAACAAGACGCGTCCTGTCAATGGATATCGTACCCTATGCTGCCATTTGTGATGGATTACTCTCCATCGGCAGTCACTTAGGCTCATGAGACGGATGATATTTGGCGATATATATATATATTTTAGTACAATGACCCACTATGTAGAAGAAGATGAGGATGACATGTAAAGCTGGGTATTGATGCATTGAAAACAGTTCTCGTGTTTGTTTACTCCCCAAGCGCCACCCATGATTGGCCGCATCTGTCCCTTGCTACGAGTACAATCTCACCTACACGTTCCCACGAGAGCTCAACTTCTCATCAAACACTGCCTGTAGGATCCTCTCCTTCTTAGCAACATCATCGGAGCCATTGTGGTCGTTGAATACCTCGTCCATCTCCTCCAGACTCTTGCCCTTGGTCTCAGGGACGAAGAACCAAACGTAGACGAAGGCAATGACGCAGAAAGCGCCAAAGAAGATGTAGGCGCCAAACCCGGTCGCTTGCACCAGAGGAGGGGTGATGAGGCCAATGATGAAGTTGTTGATCCAGTCTGTCTGCACGTTAGCGAATCACCCGCTCAATCACTGCCATTAAACGAAATACGCACTGGAACAAGTCGAGATGGAGACACCCTTGGCGCGAAGGCTGGATGGGAACACCTCGGCAGGCATAGCCCAAGGCACGGGCGCCCACGAGGCTCCAAATACAAGCATGTAGAAGAAGAGAAGCCCCACGCACGCCCATCCCTCGGCCGTGTGAGACGGCCAGTCGGACGAGAACCTGGCCACCAGGATTGCGATGACGAGGAGGGGGATGAAGGCGCCGACCGTG